CTAAATTTAGATAGCTGTGATTATTATTTACTTATCAAATTTGTTATACGAGGTGTTTATTAACATTTTCGTGGTTCGCAATTGATAAATTCGTCAAATCAGAGAGTTTGATGAGTTTGACGTGTTTGATGAGTTTGATGTGTTTGACGAGTCAACGCGGTCAACCTGTGGTCAAAATGATATTCCGATGGTTCAAAGTTTTGTACATGGTCTATTATGACGTATTAAGCGTGTTTTTGTTGTAAGGAGAGCATCTGGAAAAATGATAAATTCTACCCTAGACCAATGTGTAACATAAAGTGTAATAGACCATTAGGGTTTCATTTGGGGGAACATGCATTGCTACACAAAATAAAGTACTAAATTTAGATAGCTGCGATTATTATTTACTTATCAAATTTGTTATACGAGGTGTTTATTAACATTTTCGTGGTTCGCAATTGATAAATTCGCCAAATCAGAGAGTTTGACGTGTTTGACGAGTTTGACGTGTTTGACGAGTCAACGCGGTCAACCTGTGGTCAAAATGATATTCCGATGGTTCAAAGTTGTGTACAGGGTCTATTATGACGTATTGAGCGTGTTTTTGTTACAAGGAGAGCATTTAGCCCAGTCTTGTGGATACTTTTCACAATTTAGGCCGCAGATAATCGCACGCTCGGTGATCGAATATCTTATGGGCACGCCATTCAGAACAAACCATAGCTGTTTCACTTTTCCTTCCATACATATACATATTCACATTCACATATATATACACATACACACACATACACATTCACACATACATACACATTCACTTACACACATATATAAACACACACATACACATTCACACATACATACACATTCACTTACAAACATATATAAACACACACATACACATTCACACATATATATACACATTCACTTACACACACATACACATATATAAACACACACAAATACATCAAACACACACACATATATATATATACATAAATACATATATATTACCTTATGGGAGAAATTTGGCGATCTTTGGAGGATTTAGAAAAAAAATTTCGATTTTTATTTTATTTTTTCCGAAAATTTTTGAAGTCTGATGAAGAAGACGACTCGTGGTTTTATATTGCGTTTTGCGACGGAATTTTCCGACGCACTCCGTCACAAAATGAAATTAATTTACGCGCCCAAAATTCAAAAAATTTCGTCGAAAAACGAAACCAAATACATTGCGACGGAATATTCCGTCGCAATCCGTCGCAATTTTTATTTTCCGTCGCAAATCATCTATTTCTTTGTTGTGACAGAATTATCCGTCGTAAACCGTAGCAAATTGCGATGGATTTTGCGATTGTTTGCGACGGATAATTTTTTCCCACATTCTGTCGTAAAATCGTCACATTCCGTCGCAATTTTCTGTGCGACGGAAATTTCCGTCGCAAATTCCGTCGCTATATGCAGGTTTTTTTGTAGTGTCGTCAAACTCGTCAAACACGTCAAACACGTCAAACTCGTCAAACTCGTCAAACTCGTCAAACTCCGACTTGTTTGACGAGTTTGAACATTTTTGAGACTCGAATAGTTTGACTTGTTTGACGGGTGCGCTAAGTTTAACTAACATCTAGCATGACCATTAATCTATGTTTTAGTGCATCCGACTGTCGACAATATCATCGTGACTCGATTTCTATCCGTCTTTTTCACAAAACACTGTTTTTCACCCAATCCGAAAACCATATTTCGATATTTCAGTGACAATTTGTCATTCAAACCATAGTTTTTCAAATTTTTATTTCAAACCCTATTCTTAACGAAAACTTAATAGAAAATCTAAAACCGAATCTCAATGTATACCCGAAACCCTAAAAAATTTGATTTTTGCGGAGTTAAAAAACTATACCTGGAGGTCTTCGCAAGTAGGGTCCGAAGAGGGGGCCGAAGATGATGAAGACGAAGCTATTCTTCGTGCAAATTTGATGAGTTTGACTGTCGAAAATGGGCCAAAAAAAACTGTTTGGTTTTTCAAATTTTTTTAATTTAGTAACTTCCCAACTTTTGGTCTTTCTCTTTCAGATGTTGACACGTGTATTTTTTAAAAGGGGTAACGATGTCTTTTCATTCTTTTACAGTTTTTGTTTGAAGGTTTTTTTTTTGAAGGGTATGTCATGTAAGTGAAATCGACATTTAAAGGTATTTTTGTAATTCTCCCAACTGAGGGAGAATTTGGTGAAACCGAAACACCAAGTAGCGACCATCACGTTTTCAAAAAATCTCATAAATCATATAATGAAAATTAAAATATATTTCAATTTCACAACTATAGCAGTATCTACATCATCTGAATCTCTGATGTGGATATAAATAAGAAAATCATTTTCAAATGATTATCGCCATCGGAATAATTTATATAATAAAATTTTCAAAGGGAAAAAGAAAACGAGATCGTTGGCCCAACGACCGCGAGAGCAGAAAGCTCCGTAGATTCCGTTGCCTTGAGAGCCGGTCAGTTTACCGGTAAAAGCCGGTTGATTCGAACGGGTTGACCGGTCAGATTTTGCAAATTTTATATAAATAAATAAAATATCTAATTCGAACGCTCCCGCACTGAGATGGGCCTAAACGTGGGCCATTCCACGCTGTCCATTGGGACCGCTTTTTAATGGCTACATCACCTTTTCCTTTTCTCACTCATATTATATATACAGACATACACAAATACGTCCGAAATACTGTTTTTTTATAAATGCATATTTTTTTAAAAAATATATCTAACCAGATTGTAATAAGTTTTCAGAGAGAGATTGTTTTCGTAATTAGGATAAAATAATTTTAATTGTAAATATTTAAAACATCATTGCAAATAATACAGCGATAATACATACTAATGTGTTTTTTTCATTTTTCATTGCAAAAAAAAATATATATATATATATGTGAAAGAAATTGTTCAATTTCTAAAAATGTCTAAAAGCTACGGAAAAATTCAAATCGTACTGCCAGCTGTCAATTAAATAGAGCGAGTGTTGTCGTTACGAACCCGCAGATCACGCGCTTCATTCAACTTGTCTTTTGTCGTTTTCCTTATAAATCCTCCATACGCTCCTTCTCATCGCCACGGGAAGGAAAAGTAAAAGCCCGCCGGAGGGTACTTTCACATTTATCCCTTATCCTTGAGGGTATATTCGTCATTACAGATCGTACGGTCGTCGAGTCATCTACGTGGATGCAATCGTCACCCTTCATCTCCATCTCCCGTTGCCGAAACCCCAACTTCCCCGGTCTTCAATAGCATTCAAAATTCATTTTTCTCTCTCCTGCCATTTCACCCGTGGAGAGAGAAACCGAAGCCGACTCCGAGAGAGAGAGAGGGGATTTGCGATTCCGATCTAGGGTTTTGTTTTCGGTGCGGCGGTGAGATGGCTTGGCCTCCGGAGACGACGTCGTACTTCAGCTGGAAGGAGGTGCATGTGACGAGCGACAAAGGGATGAAGGAGGTTCATTATTACCTGAAGAGGAGAGACGGAGGCGCAGATCTGGCTGTTGTCGGGAGGGAGAATAACTCGAGGCATATATCGTATAGATACGCGTTGAAGACGAATCGCTCCGTTCTATATAAGTTTAACACTCGTGGGGATGTCGTGGATTGGCTCAACTTTGTTGTTTCAGGTAATATCGTGTCTCCGAATCGAGTTTTCCGAACAGGTTTTATTTAGGGTTACGTGTCCGTTTCCTGATTTTGAGTGGGTATTTGAAAACTGGGAAAGGCTACGGAGGGCCATCCATATCTGAATCTTGTGCCAAACTTCGGGAAAGGTTTTTTTATTGCTTTTGGGTTGGCTTCTCGTCAATTCTGAAGAAATTCAGCTTTTCTACTGCCACAAAATCGCTATAAATTTGCAATTTTGGGCTCGCGATATCTGGAAATCTTAGCTTTTGTTTCGATTTCTCGTAAATATTGAAGAAATTCAGCTTTTCCTTCGACAAGACCTCTCATAATTTGGAATTTTTCACCGTATTTTTTAGTTTCTGTTGAGGTGCTTTTTTCGTGTCCACCGATTTCGGCGGTCTGGTTGGGTTTTGATTCCTTGATGGGTGAAAGTTATCTTATTGCATTTATACGTGTTGCCAATTGATTAGGGATGAGAACGATGAATTTGTTCTTAATTTCAGTTTGTGCCCTAGAGTATTTCCTGAACAATTTTTCTTGCATCCAAAGAATCTGTTTTTCCCTCAAGTTTTGCTTTGTAGTTGCCTTGTTCTTAAACACCATTCCCTCTTCAACATCTTGGGCAGAAAGAAAGTTATCTCCTTAATTTCCTCTTAGAATTTAAACGGGTTTTTTCCTGGATTTCCAATTTCTCCCTTCTCTATGTGCATGGCTATTAGAGATTTCTTGCAATAATTTACTTCTGGGTTATTATGTCCTGACCCCTTTCAAGTGAATCTTGGATATGGAGATGATAATTTGCTAAGGGAATTTACTGTAACTGATCGATTTGTTGAGTTATATTCACCCGACTAACTCGTGAGAAATATTGTTCCTATCCCGGGCTTTTTGCAGCTAAACCTATTTAGTGTAAACTGGTTTTGCTGCAGACAGATCCGGTTTTCACCTTTTGGTACTGCCTTGCCTGCATGCCTAAAAGAATTGATATTTTTCCTGCTTTATATTCAAATTTGTATTTATTCACTTAGATAGCAATATGCCATAACATATAATTTACTTGTGTTCGAAGTATCACTGACCTTTGCTTGTGTTTTTCAATTCTCTCAGGTGTATTACCTCAAGAAGCAAACATACCAGCTGCCCCTGCGACTACCCAAGCTGCTAAAGGGCTAAAAAATATTGACACTATTAAGGTTCTACTTCCATTATAGTTAAGACACATCTTTTGTCAAGTATAAGTATTGGGAAGACAATTGTTAGAAAATTCTGAATGTTAGTTGCTTTGTCTTTGATATGTTCTCCAGGATGCATGTGATCCGGAGCTGGTTCATAAAAGCAAAAACTTCTCGTGGATCGGTTCACCATGGACTTGCAGGAAAAGGCGTAAGCATTACCCATCTTTTTTCCGAAATGGTGTCAGAGTCTCTGTGAGTCATTATGTTCTTTTGAAGTTGGAAACTCGATTGCTGGGTTTTGGTCGATTAAGTATCTTTCCGAAGCTTATTGTTATGCTGATAACTTGTCATTTTTTATCTGTGAATTCTTTGCAGGTAAATGATTTTGTGTATGTTTTAGCTGAGCAGAATAAGCGTATAATAGCATACTTGGAAGACATGTATGAGGATTGTAAAGGCAGCAAGATGGTTGTGGTACGATGGTTTCACAAAACTGATGAGGTTGGTATTGTTTTGCCTCACAATGTTAATGACAGAGAGATTTTCTTTTCTCTTTGTCTTCAAGATATCGACATTGAGTGCATAGATGGGTTGGCTACCATCCTCAGTCTTCAGCACTATGAGAAATTTCTTAAGGAGTTTTTGCATGGTCGGCCAATAGTCTTCTTTTGTCGTAAATTATATGAAGAAGATGCCGTGAAGCCTTATGACATAACACAACTGAAAGGTTACTGGGGACAACAAATGCTTAGATACTTGAATGTGACCATTTCAAAGTCCGGTGAAGGTGCTCAGGAACCTGGTAATGACATACTAGTAGGGGCTTCTGGGGTTAATTGTTGTGGGGTTAGATTGAGGAAGAGGCGCCGTTCCGGCCCTTTAGAGGGTTCAGATATGCCATTACCGAATGACCAGAAGGATGATTACCAACGTAGTCTGCCTGCACCTACGACCCAGGAGGAGGCTAAGCCAAGTTCTTCCCGATACATAAAAAGGGGTTCACTTGTTGAAGTGCTTTCTCAAGATAGTGGCATCAGAGGTTGTTGGTTTAGGGCTCTAATATTAAAGAAGCATAAGGGTAAGGTGAAGGTCCAATACCGAGACATTCAGGATGCTGAAGATAAATCTAAGAAGCTAGAGGTACTCTTTTGGATTCTCTTTTTTTTTTGGGGCTTCTACATACATTCTCTTGCATATTTGGAAACACATTGGTTGAGACTTTGGCTGTTATTTTCTTTCAGGAGTGGATTTTGACATCTCGGGTTGCTGCTACCGATGATTTTGGTCTTAGAATTCCAGGTCGAAAGATGATACGTCCTCCTCTGGAACCCTGCAAAACAAATACTCTACCTGCTGCTGTTGTTGGAATGCCTGTGGATGTGTGGTGGTTTGATGGCTGGTGGGAAGGCATCGTGGTTAAAAAAGTCTCGGAAGAGAGATTTGAAGTCTACCTGCCAGGTCTGTTAATGAATCCCTTAAAAAAAATGGCATTGAGGATTCAATACAAACATGTATCTGTTTTCTAACCGTTATACATACCTCTTGTATTTTGTTTTTCTTCCAGGTGAAAAGAAAATGTCGGTCTTTCATTGTAGTGATTTTAGACAATCTCAGGAATGGTTGGGAGATGAGTGGGTACACATGAAACCTAGGTCTGATCTCGTGAGTTCTGTTCTGTCTTCTATGGAGACAAAACATACTGCAGTGAAAATCGATGAGAAGTCAGCTCAAGTTGGTGGAGGTGAACCTCTGGGCCCTCTTCCAGTAGCTACAAATCAGAAAGCATTCTTTTCCCTACCCGTTCGTGATCTTCTGAAGGATGTTCTGGTATCATCTGAGTTAAAGTGGAAAACGTCAAGGAAGAGAAAACGAAGCAATTCATTGGTCACGAATTACAGAGATTGTGAAAGAAGATCTTTGGCTTCTGAATCCTTTAAAGTAGATTGCGAGAACTGCAAGTTCATGGGAGATTCTCTGTTTGGTTCTTCTGTGGCGCAGCCACTGACTGGGTTGGTAATGTCAAGATGATCATTGTTGGTGTTGGATTGTCTTCTAACGGGGTAGCATGTCGCATGCCGCCATCTGCTTGATGCCGTTTTGGGTTTAGATTACAAATGAATCAGCAGCAGCCGAAGTTGGATTAGATTATTAGTTCATAGTGTGGCATCCAAATTCCTCTTATGTATGTATGGTGTAACAGTAGGTGGGGGAGCTTTTCTTACCCTGGGGAAATCCAGGCAGCAAAATTTTTGGATGCACTACTAGGGTTCTAGCAATTAAATCAGGAGGCTTTTCTTAGATTCTTCTTAAGCTAATAGAGTTTGCTTTCTCTCTCTCTCTTCATGTATTATCTTTTAATAAAGTATGCTTCGTTCTTGCTCGTTCTTGAGCTTCTAAAAGCATTACTCTCTTACTCTGCGTTCTAAAAGATGTCTTGGGCATGAGTTTTTTGGATAGAAACGCTGCAGATTCTTTGGCTGCAACCAACGACATCGATGTTTTGGATTTGCCTGAGATGAGACTGAAGTGGCTCTCCACTTCTCTCTAGGAATCGGAAACCTCCGTCTCAATGTGGGGGTAAGTTTCGATCGTTAATTCTAAGAATCACTATCATTGATTAGATTCGATTTGGATCAAAAGGGACCCAGCAGATGAAAAGGTACAGTCAAATCTTTTTAGTGAAAAAAGTTGCCGACTGGACCGCCATTGCTTATGTCATCTTATAACCTCGAAGAGACAAGAGGAGAGGTTCCCGTGAATGGACAAATGGCATAACTCTAAAGTGGGCTTTAATCGAATGGGCCGTTGGTGGGATTGTGAAGCAGAATTTGGACCTAAAGTTCAATTAAGTAATAAATATGGAGTCCAAGAGAACTTGCATTTTTCTTTGAGAAACTAAAAAAACGAAAAACAAAAATTCAATTCCGTATACAAATCATATATAAATGTCTGAACTTTTACAAAAATTTCACATAAATATCTGAATTATATAATTTTCATATAAATAATTGAACTTTTTTAAAATCCTATATAAATATCTAGACTTTTGAAAAACTTCCAAATAAATCCAAAATACGTTAATAATATCACCTATTTTTATTTGAAAAATACTTGAAATTTGTGTTTATTTGATTTTTTTTTAAAGTCTAGATATTTATATAGAATTTTTAAAAGTTCAGGTATTTATATGGGATTTTTGTAAAAGTTCAGGTATTTATATATTATTTTTCCTATATAAAACAAATTTCTCTTTTTTAATAAATAAAAAATTTGAGGAAAAATTGACAGAATTGGACAGAGTATCATACCATATATATATATATATATATACATGACATAGAATCTGTTTTTCAAACAATGAAAAAAATTTGTTTCCGTACGTAAGTAATCTACTAAGTGAGCCAATTAATTTAAGGCAGAAGAAAACCTCTCCTGCGAATTGTTCCCCTTTTTGAAAAAGTTATTATTTCATTTAAAACAAACGCAAAAGCTTACCAAGTCATAATATAATGGAGATAAACATCATATTTTTTATTTATTTTATGAAGCTAAGTAATTTAGGAATATTCAAACAAATATGTATATACATGCATATATACTAAGTGAGCCAATTAATATGTATAGAGGAAAAGCAATGTGGTATATTGAGTGGTCAGTTGTAATATTTTCCCCATCCGTACGATTAAGCTTCATTATGGATGTTATTATAATTAAAGAAAATTCAACAAAAACAAGTAGAAATATCAAAGCTAACGAGATTTTATCCAAATGTTACAACATTCAACGCCTAAATTACACGTGTATATGTCGTGTTTCAAAGACTACAAGTCTTTATAAGAAATAATGAAAATGTAAATCGTAAAATATAATAAGAAAAAAATAATTAAAAGCAAAATTTTCTTGGCCAATCAATCGTTTACGAGCTAGGAAATAACCCGCGCGGATCGCGCGGACTAATATTAATACATTTAATTATTTTTAAAATTTTATTAATAATTTATAATATTGTATATCTTATGCTTTATCGTTGGTTTTAAGAGTATTTAGACAATTTCTAAGAAAGATTATCAATAACTTTTATATTTATATTTTTTTATTGAGTGTAATTATTTTTAACGGTTATTAATTGTATTATAATAAATGGTGTTGAAATGTTGAATACCAGAGTAGCTTTCGTTTTTACAATAATATGTATCAATTGGTTATTATATTATATTCGATTCGGTTTCGGTTTGGTTATATTTTTTATCTAATAAAATTAGTTCCTCTTAATTTTTTTGTATCTAAAATTAATATTGTTTTATAATTTTAGACTATTTAAATCGATAAAATATCGTATTTTTCCGATTCGGATTGTTTGTAACACGCCGACCACCACCTAATGCTAAATGTGTGGTTGAGATTTAGCGAAGTATAAAAGCACATTGTAGTTTTTTTTCCATTATAATTTTTTTGTTGGTTTTTTTAAAATTGATGGTTACGAAGTCACATTTTCTCTCTGAGTAAGAATCACTTTTGATCCCCTCCGTCGTCTTCGCTGCTGGGAGACATCGTATGTGCACCGATTTTACCGAAGCTCCTCTGCCTTCGGCGCCGATTGTTTTTATAATTCTGGTATGCCTCTTCTTTTCCTCTGGCGTTTGTAATTTTGGGATATTTCTTTTTATTACGCCGACCGTCTCTGACACTGGAGATAATTTTTTAATCATTTGATCCGGTAGCGAGAGTTGATTCCTTTGTTGTTACATTTCTCTTATGTACTTATGGATCTGATTCTTCCACTGTGAAACTAATTCAAATCTTCAAAAGTTGTAACTTGGTTTAGGGTATAGAGAATGAGAGGTTCGTTAAGATTTACACTTTTCTGGTTTTGTTCTTATATAGTGGTTTCATTCTGTGTTCAAGGTTGAGTATTTGTGGTAATCTTATTTTGCATTCTGTATTTTGTTATTTGTATCGAAACCAAAACACAAATTGTTTGCATTGTATAGAATCGATTGGTCTGATATTTGGGGTTGATAAGTATGGCCAATAAAAACTGGTAGTTATATTGGTCCATGAATATGCTTTTTGTTGCTATGTACTATGTGATTGTAAGAAGAATAGGGATGTATTTTTTGTTTGTTCATGAAAATATATTCAAGATCTCTTAATAAACACACTTATTTTTAAGAACCAAATGTTGAAATGTCGAATTTCGGATCAATGTGTAGGAAATTATACTTTGCATGAATAATCTAACAATTGTTCGTCTGCCAATTCCAATTATTTTTAATCTTTTGCATGGAATGTGAGCAACTACGATTGTATTCCAAAATGTTTAAACTTAGCATTAATATACATATATTAAAAATAAAACATCTGCTGACAAAACTCACTGCATATGGTGTTTGTTAAAAGTTGCAGTTTGTTTACCTTGGGATGTATCTCATTTCTTGATTGATCCATTCCTTTGTCACCTTCAAAAGATTAACATTGAAATATAAAATTATCAATTTCTACCTTTGGCATTGCATCATATAGAATTTAAAAGATTCATTATATTAAATACACACATATATATCATAATGTATTATATATTAATGGTTAAACTTAATAGAATTGATTTGCCTTTTATTGGCCAATATCCCTTTACTTCTGCATCATCTGGAAGCTGCAAAAAAAATTAAATTATTAAATAAGAAAGAGCATCACAACGCATTTAAAATTTATAAAACTAATAACTTACTCTTAAAGATTATTGAATATTTCTTTGAATACTATGTTCTCCACTTCATTTGAACAAATATTGGAGCTTTTCAAGTTTAATATTCGAAGTCCTTCAGAAGATGTGACCCTTGAAAGTGCAACGTACAACTGACCATGGCTAAACACTGGATTGGGAAGGTATATTCCCACTTTTCTCAATGTTTGACCTTGGCTTTTGTTTATCGTCATCCCATAGCATATTCGAAGAGGAAATTGTCTTCTTTTTAGCTTGAATGGCCATTTAGTATCACTTGGGCTCATTATTATTCTAGGGATGAAGACCTTTTTTCCAACATGGCTGCCCGTGATAATCTCTGCCTCGATCACTTTGTTACCTAGGCGTGTAACAATCATTCGAGTTCCATTGCATAATCCTTCTTGTTGATTAATGTTTCTTAACAACATTACTGGAACATTTGTCTTCAACACTAATTTGTGGTCGGGCAGTCCAGACGATGTGAGTGAGTTTAGAAAATCAACAGGATACAATGCTAGTGTTGGAATGATGCATTCTCCTTCATCTTCCACGCTATCTGAACTCAAATATTCCTTACATTCTTCTGGCACATGATTAAGCATGAATGAGTTGACTTCATCAACATGATCATTTCTTGGAGTAAGAACAGCTCTTTCCATCAGGTACGTTTTGTCTTTGTATAATTGACAAAAGTTTGGATATGTGTGTTTTGCAATTTCCTCAACTGTATCTGCATCCGCATTGATTACCAATCTTTTGTCGATTTCAACTGTGTCACATTCATCTTTTGGGTGCAAGTTTTTTGCACGTTTTGGGATTGTTCCATCTCCTACTTTTAAAACCCATTCTGCAAAATCTCTCTCTGATCGATGAAGTCTCATGTTCTGGGCTAAGACAAACACTGTGCAAGAATCCCACAAGTATGAGCGGTTTATTGCTGCTGAAACTGTATCTTGTCTTGTACCATGTTTAATAACAGGTAGAATTTGGCGGAAATCGCCGCCTAGAAGAACAGTTTTCCCACCAAAAGTTTTGAACACAGCTGTTGGATCTGCAATTGACATAAGATCTCTCAAAGTTCGATCCAATGCTTCAAAGGTATATCGATGGGACATTGGAGCTTCATCCCATATGATTAGCTCACATTCAATCAGCAATTCTGCTAACATTGTTCCATGTTTTATTTCACACATTGAATTTTCTTGAACATTGATGGGCACTTTAAACCTTGAATGTGCTGTTCTACCACCATGGAGAAGTAACGCTGCAATTCCAGACGAAGCTACTGGAATGACAATTTGTCTGTTTGCTCGCAGGTTTGCTATAATTGTGTTGTATAAATATGTTTTACCAGTTCCGCCAGGGCCATACAGGAAAAACAACTTTCCTTCCTTTGACTTGATGGATTGCATAACACCATTGTATGCTTTTAGTTGTTCTTCGTTTAAACAACTAAATAACATGTCATATCTTTGTTGTTCTTCTGTAGAATCATAGTTCAATTCTTCCCTCAGAAAAGAATTGTTCATCTGTTTGAGGAGCTCTTTGTCTGGCAATGGTATATCTGGAAACTCTGCGAGCGTTCTGCAATTTTGCATCATTATTCCCTCAATCTCCATCAAAGCATAACTTTGGAGTGTTTGATCTGTAAATTGCAGGTTATTATAGCCGAAGCTTGTGCGCTTTTGATATGGGATGTCTTCTGCTAGGGAATTCCAACAATGTTCCCACAGCTGTCCCGGGGTTCCTACCTCACAATAAAGTAACAGAGTGACAAAAAGATGTCTCAATTGCTTTGGAGAAGCCCATTGACTGGCTTCATCTATAGCTTCCTTCCACTCTGAATCTCCGTCCAACATTCCTCTCGCATAGCAAGCAGCTTTATATGTTGCATGGACAACTCCGTCGACAGTTAAAATGTCCTCATAACTGGTAGGTCCTTTGACAATATTCAATAACATTCTGAGATAGTAAAGTTCCCCTGATGATGGATGTACATTAAAGATCCTTCCTATTGCAAAACCTTGTTTACGCTTTGTCCAGATTGTATTACAATCATTCCACACAAACTTACTTGGAAATTGAAGGTATGTCAATTGTTTTGCCTCCGAATCTTTTGTATTTGTTTCCATCCATGCAGTAAACATTGTCCTTTTAGCTCTTGGTTGGGACAATACAGATTCTAAGTCCTGAGAATCTTTGTATATCAAACTTTGTTGATTTTCCAGATGAATTGATAGCCTTTGTACAGGTGGATCACGATAGTGAATGTCAAATCCAAATATTCTCCATATAGCTTCACATGCCGATAGATAACGACATTCAAGGTAATTTTTTACCTCATCTATCTCTTGATCCTGATCTTCTCTGTTTCCATTGTTTCCCAGAGTCTCTCCTTTTTCAATGACCATCGTCGCTTTGTCAACGCCTTTTGTAATGTACTTGAAAAGATACTTTATCGCTTTTGACCTATTGCACCATTCGACGTTTATATGTGCCTTATATTTCTTCAATAAGGATAGATTATGTGGCACTACAAAGCTGTTGTCTAGGCGAACTTGACCTTTCATGACGAAATTAATATCATCTTTTCTGCGTTTATACTTGATGTATCCTGAATCATCGATGACTGTACGCTCACAATAAGATTTTGGGAACTTCTTTGAACAACACCCATTCTCCATACACGATGAGTAAGGATTTTGAATTCCACATGGCCCGTGTATCATTAGTTCTTCAACCAAAGAATGACCTTCGGGGTCTTTGGCTTTATCCGGAATTTCCGCCGAGATAAACATATCAACATCTCTTGCGGTGGGAGTTCTAAATCTTTCAGATAACCAGATGAGGATATGGGCGTGCGGTAGACCTCTTTTTTGGAATTCAATAGTATAGATCACTGCAAACCAAAATCCACTCTTAAGAGATCACAACTTAAATATTTTAAGACCCATTATATAATGCATAGTTAACATTATATATTTACACAGGTTTTTTAACGTGAGTTACCTGCTAATGGTTTGTCAAAATAGGTTCCATCTTTGATGTCTGACAGTAGCTCCTCTAATTTCATCTTGAATACACGCGATTCTATATCAGGTCGGTCATTTGCTGATGTGTTTCCCGAATTCTCTAAGTGTTCTTTGATTTCCAGCCATTTCGGGTTTGCCGTCATTGTAATGAAAAGGTCTGGATTTCCAAACCATCGACAAATTGCCATCGCATCCTGATATTTCCCGATCATATATCTAGGGCTTCCAGAAAAACTTGAGGGAAGAATTATTCTTTTTCCTAACTTCTTTGCATCAGACTCCCCTCTTGTCACGAAATCACAAACATTGCTATATAAATCTGCTCGTAGTTTTGTCTGATTGTTCCGAATATACCGCAACCGTTGTTGTTCAATAGCTGTGTAAGCATCAACAATGTATTGTTGGAATAAACGTCCAGACCTTATTAGAGTATTGCCTTCGTTTAACCGCGTTTGTAGCTGATAAGCATAATACTCACGCATTGTAACATGTGTCCTTTTCACTGTTGAATTCTCGGCGGCAATATGTTGAATCCCTTCATGATAGCCCGATTCACCATACGGAAATAAGAGGGGGTATTGCAATGCCATAAGACGTGGATGCATTTCGCTAATACGCTGAAGATTTGAATCCTGAAGATGTACAATGATATCTCTTTCAGCTGCAGTCTGTGACAACTCTCCAACTATAAGTCCAGCAACCTCATCACCGGTAGGTAGCTCATATTGTTTTCCTCTGTTTCTTGGACCTATTAAACGAATTTTCATGCCATTGAAATCCCCGACTACATATCTATCTCTTGCTTTGCGGAAGGTCTTTGCAAGTTCATTGTAGGTGTCCAACATTTCGACTAAACCACTGAGAATATCGATATCCAATTGCTCATCTTGTTCTCTTTGGAACAAAGCATTCAAGCGGTTTTGAATTTCATTTGCAGTGTCATAGATGTATAACTGAGCAAATCGTGGCATCTTGCCTTCCATGGGTAAAAGGGATCCCAAACGATGGTAATTTTGACCATGGATTCTGTATGTATATGGCCCTCTTCCAGAAGTTACAGACTTATCGATCTTGGCACCCATGGATGTGAATGCTACCATAGAATTATAAGCTCGTATATATCTATGATATGATTTTGATTCTTCCAGCATTTTTTTAAGGAAATCCGGGGGTTCTCGCTGTTGTGGAAGCTTAACACGACCTTGCTGGCAACATATTGTGAAAAACAATTGTCCTGTTGCCGAATTTTTTTTTTTGGATTCCGCTCTCCAAACCAATGCATCACAGAAAGGACAATTTAGGAGATTATTATTCTCCTTTGTTCTCGCTGAAACATTGAAATAAATAGTTGTTATATATACATCTTTATATGATGCATAAATGTATATCCAATTTTTATTTATTAATATCTCAATCTTCAAGTTTATCATATTTGAATAAGTTTGGGAGTTTTTTTAACGTATGTTATATTAAGCATGTCTATTTATCTTCTATACAATAACAATAAATATGGTCTTCTATCCTTAGTTTTCTCAAATTTTGAAATACATAAAATATATTAGAATTTGTTGGATATTTTGTTTGGTGATTTACTGTGAATATGAGATACCTATGTAATTGTGTGTTTAAGTTTAAAATCATCCTAAATACCAATAATTTAGCGTAGAGACCTATGTTTGGACCTAGATTTTTTATGTGTAACCTTATTAGCTTTGAAAAAAAAAACTATTAATAGATATCTATGTTTGGAGAAATGTTTATTTTCTTTACATTTGTAATGGAGATTTTTGTCGGAGTATTCATACCTTTTTTTTTATTACACTTTCGAGAATTGCTTCTTGTTTCACCCTTTGCAATTTGTTTTCCATACATTATCTCTCGTCTTCTTTTTCTAGCCTCTGATGCTTCAACTCCTTAAAAATTCAATCGAAATAATACAATAATGAGGTTATTTACTTGTGAGACAACTTAAGATAATGAATTATCAACTTCAAAACTCCCATGCTTATTTGTTTTTTATTTGAAATAATACCTTTACTTGGGTAAAAGGCGTTTTCTGTAGTGGTTGACGGATCTGAAGCCATTGGGGTTATTTGGGTAACCTAAGAAAGATAAATTTTAAAATTATTCAGACGATAAGATGATAAATTACATTAAAGGAGGAGATGCTCAATGCGAATTTACCTTTATGGTTGAATGATTTTTGAATAAAATCCAGTTGCGATAGAGAGAGTAGGATATACTATTCTCGGAGGAAAACGGTCGAACTTTTGACAAAGTTGTTTGTTGTCCTGGTAAATAAATGGAACATAAATATTAGCATAAATAAAATGTAAATATAAAAATAAATGGACGTAGAATTATATATAATGCTTGGCATGATTAAGGATATATGTATATTTACTGAATTGGACATGGTATTTGTGGTAGAATAATCAATAAATACCTATATTAATTTTTCCTCAGCTTACAATGTTACAATAAGGTGATTTAGTATATTCATAATAATATTGTCCGGGAATAATTGAATTTGGATAAATACAAATCTGAGTTAACTTTTAAATGAGAAAGTTTGGTGACAATCAAAATTGATAGTGTATAGCAAGTGATGAAAATTTTCTGCATTTTGTTTTGGAAAAATGTGACGTTGTCTTAATACAATTTTTAATATTACAAATATCTACATTTACTTTCAATTTGTTATCATATGTCTACACGAATTTATAAAATCAATTGAATTTTCCATCTAAACAGGAACCATGTGGAATTCGATCGATTTTCTTAACAATTTTGCTGATATATACTACCACTTCAGATATTTTTCCAAATCAACTATCACATTACACTCTTTAAAAAAAACACTTAAAACACATATGAAACCCAAATTTATCCCACAACTATCATATGTTTTTTGTAAAATATAATTAAATAAATTGAAAGAAAACAAACCTTGGAGGTTGATTCGAGGGATTTATAATAATATTGGTCTAAGTAATTGAATTCAGATACTTACCAATTGAGTTAACTGTTAGATAACAAAACTTGGCGACGATCCAAAATGACAGTGAAAAGCAAGGAACGACAAATTCCTACAATTCAATGAGACAATATTTCAACATGGCCGGAATCTAGGGAATTCCAAAATAAGTATATATTTAATATATTTGGCTGGTTGATTCATTGTTATCAAATTCAAACCAGAATAAACCTTCTAATCATATATTATAAACATGATAAATGGAAAACATTTTAAATCAAAGAAAAACTGAACGTGTATGACATATGTGTATATATGTATATATATAGATGCATATAGCAATGATATATAGGCAAGAAAACATGGAAAGAAGGCAAACCTTCGACGGCAAAGATTACATGGAAGAGATGAGCGAGACAAATCATCTGACCATTATTTTATCTTGTGTGAAATAGAGTGAGCAGCTCATTTAACGTAATACCACCATTGAAATTCAGCTCCAAAACATATGTAGTCAAATGTGTGAGTCAATGAATGCAAAGTTTGTGTTAGTTATTAGAGTTATTAGTTGATGTATACGAAGGATAATAAATACATTTAAAAATGGTAAAGTTATCTGAATCTATACAAAGATGCTTGAATCATCAATATATCTATAAAGTTAATTGAATGAAAATTTTCATTTATGTAGGTTATATGAATATACGTTTGGTAATGCATTGATCCTTATCAATGGGACTTTGGAGAAGAAGTAATTAAATTTGTTTTGATTTAGGATATATCCAATGTCACTGGTGTGAGTTATTACCGTTTCAAGATAGTTATTATCGAAGAATAATCTATAAATATCATTTTCATACCTAAAGCGATCTTCTCACACTTTGACAATTCATTGATTCATCATGAAAACCTCGATACTGCCCTTTCTCAGTCATCATCTAGACCAAATCTCAGAAGGCAAAGATTTCATCATCAATCTTAGAGCTGAAGTTTTCCAACCAGACTTTACAGGTTTACCGCTTTCCTTTGAATGTCCTTTCTCTCCCGACGAATTCATCTACGAAGATGACGAATCACCCGGTAAAGAAGAGCTTTACTACTTTTTGATTGAATCTGGAGTCGAATGCTTTGATGCTCAATCCATATTCATAGACCTTATCCTCTATGCCTGTGAAGTCTTGAATTCAATTCATAATGGGTTTAAAGGAGTGCTCTCTTTGATGCTGACTGTTCGATTTCGTTCGGAGGAGGTTAGCAGTGCCGGTTTAGATTGCCAAATCGATGGTGAAGACAGTGGTAGATACTTCGTTCCGATTGACCTAAAACCGGTCGCCGTTAATTCTAGTGGACCGGTGGTGAATACTGAAGTTGGAGCCCAAGCAAAAGCGGAGGGGTGATTTTATGGTTTTTTGCACATGAAGCAACAATATCGTTTTCTCATAATATCTTCCTTTTTTTTCTGCATTGATGTAAATTCTATTATTACCCACATATTTTCCAAAAACTACATTTATAAAACATTTAAGAATCTATGAAAATATGTCGTAGTATTATAATACAGATGAATATATGTACTAATTATATACATTTAAGAATCTATGTAAATATGTCAGTAGTATTATAATACAGATGAATATATGTACTAATTATGTGTAACAAAAGGGTTTGGATATTCATACCTAGAATTAACTATTTCATATATGTATTTAGAAAACTATTCCAAAATTCAAGTACAATCTTAAGTTTTATTATAATAATTATGGCCAAAAACATGTTTCTGGCCAACAAAACCATACTTTATCTCTATCATACTAAAATTGAGTTTCACCCAAAAATCTTATTACGTAAATGTATTCCAATGATAATTACATTTACAAATATTAAAGTTATTTGAATATGTAATAGGGGTTTGATTTTACTATACAAAACTATGTATATCGTGTGCTTCGCGACATCTATAAAAGAATAAAACATAGATTGTATATAAGAGATCTGAATTAATATGAAACACAGATATGAACTGAACTTGACTATTTGATAAATATATATATCACAGAATCAAATACATTGTGTAAGACATTCTTTTAAAAAAAAAATCCAAACATAGTTCATGACTACGACATAAATCTAAGTATTCTACAATCTAATCCATTGTGTTAAACTAAACACTAATAATCGAATAGACATGTCCCAAGAAACTTCCATTGTAGGTCTCTTCATTTTCTTATCAAGCATCTAACTTCTTCATCGATAGTCTAACTCACGTTCTTCCTGTTCAAATGAATAGATTACGCAAATAAATATTGATAAATTTATTTTTTTGGAAAAATGAACTATCATAATTTTAACATATGAAAAAAAAATCAACAACAAACCTCTTCAGTCCTTGCCTCTGCCTTTGAACTTTAGGCATGTCTGTCTCGTCATGAACATCACCCTACAATACGTTAATGTTTAATAGAATAATCATTGTTTATCCAATTTTGCATACTTAATATGTATAAGTGTTGCATATTTAGTAATAAACCTTAGATTGTATTTTTAGTTGTAAACATACCTCATGTGTAGATTCGTTTGTAGTGGGTAGCATAATTTCTTCCAATATTCGGGTCACGGTGAAACTCTCAAAACGACTAATAAAATTGAAGTTATTTAGTCTGATTTGGAAGTTAAAAGTCTTTCCAACAACAGACTTTTGAATAGTAGAATGCACACTTTCCATATCAGAGTCCTGCATCACATTTGAAAATATTTAGTTGGTTATAATTGTTTATAATAAGGACAAATTTAATGCAATTTTTATTATATAATAAAGAGAATTTGCATGCAAACTTATTAAATTTATAATGACTAACATTGTCACACTTGATATCGGAAGCGGTAATATTAGTAATCTTCCTCGCATCTCGATCAAATATAACAAAAGTTGTTGTGTCTTCTCCGTCATCTACAGTACACTCGAGGCGAAATCTGAAATAACGATCAAATAACTATAGATTATCTATTATCTCGATTAAAAAAATATAAAAGTTTTTGGGTAATACATCACCTCAAAACACCCACTGCTTGGTTGTTGTCACAATTGCCACACAAAAGGGTAGATTCATCTTTTTCCACCTTGCGAGAGCACTTGGCACAAGATATATAATTCCAGCCATTTCGAAACAGAACTTCAACCACTTTAGCTTGGATGTACAGCTCCTTATCCTATGTATATTGTAAAACAATTATTATACAATAATAATTTATTTCAACTTTCCAAAGAATCTTTAGATTTTCGGAATCATCCAAAAAATGGTATAGCAACGAAATAGTTTCAATAAAAGAGTGTTTTGTAATGAATTGGAAGAGTTCGAACCAAATGTATATATATCCCTATCAAAACTATTATACTGACCATATCGAATATTGGTATAACATTGAACATATGTTCATGTGGCCAAAGTGGTTTAGATTGACATATATTCATGTTGGCTTTGGTGTAGCCATAGTGGTTTAAATATAATGAAATATATTTTAATTATTTGTAAATGTAAAGTATTAATTTTTAACATTACCTGAGGTTCATTGTTGAGGATAAAATGACGTATTTCAGATATGTTGAATTGTTGCATTGTTTCTCCACCATAATTCTTTTTGCCACTATTGCTTTGGAAAATATGCGGAGTAACGCTGTGTAACATAAATGTGTCATTTTAATATATAAAAAACCTAAAAAAATTATTAATCAGAATGCGCACCTTCCACGAAAACTACGAACAACATCGCTATCATTATTGAGATAGATGTTAGTTGAAGAGGTAGTGTTTAGCTGCAATTCACCTGTTAGATTCCATAAAAACGTCATAATTTAAAATCATATCTAAATAACCAAAAATAAAGTGATATTAAAAAAATTATAACACCTCTAAATAATTTCGGGTTTACACCCGTTACGATAACCACAATAGAATCATCATGATTCTTCTCAAGTTTTCTCTGCAAGATATCTGCCATATCATTCCAGACGGCTACCTTCACTTTGAAACCACTGTAAAATGACGAAGAAATTATCAAGATAAGATGGATCACAATTCTTACACATCGGTGTGTATATATATATATATGGTATAATAAACTTACTCCTCCAAGATAAGATGGATCACAATTCTTTTCCATTTACTTTGTTCACCGTAACCATTGAAATCAACTTGAGAAAGATAACCAATGACATCTACAAAAAACAAACATGTTACGTATAGAATCAATACTATAAGTATACAAAATTATTAAGGTAGTTCAAACTCACATATAACATTCATAAACGGAAGGGTATAAATAAAACAATTAAACATTTTTAAAATTTATATAAAAAAGAGAACAATATTTAAATTGTAAAATTGAGTTAAAAAATTTTGAATCGATCAATTTTTTTTGGTAATTTACGTATTGTAATTATGTTAAAAAAAATGTGACGAACCAAGGATGCAAATAAATAATTTGAAAATAGATAAAGTGAGTTTGAAAATAAATATGAGTTTACCCTAAAACTATTTTTATTTTTATTTAAATTTATTTGTTAAAAATTCCCAACAATATATTTAAATGTAAAACACTAATAACATCATTATCTCAACATAATCTATCTAAAAATTAACATGATATAAATGAGTAGGAAATCATTCACTTCGACCCAATCAAGTTGATATGACATCCCCAGATCAGAAGGTCAGAGCAATAAACCAACATTCCCAACTATTTTAGCTCATTCGTAGTCGGGTGGTTTCCATGGCAGATGGTCATATTCCCAGATTCAAAAGGTGAGGTCTTAGCAGTTTCCCAAGTAAAGAGATACTAAATCGCCTAACAATTCATTCAAGGAGCAGAGGAAGAACGATAAATATGGGGCGAAAAACACAATGGAAGATGAATCCTCATGTAAAATCTAATAAAAAGATATTAGAGAGTTGGTACCTGGTGAAAGTATTTTATTATAATGTTTTAAATTCGCTAATTTTATTTTGTAAAATATACAAATTGCACTCAAATTAATTATTTTAATTAGATTAAAAAAATTAAAATGATTATGATTCAAAATCAACGCATTGGCTGGTAATGTGGGTTGGCAATTCAACTTTTTTACACCCTAAATTACAAAAAAAAAAAAATTGAAGAGGCAAATAGGAAATTTCGAAAATCGGGAAAATTTTGACAAAAAGCTGACTACTAAAATAAGGGCTTGTCGTGTCGCATTGTGTTTTTTCACTTCAATGTGATGCAAGACCTGTTTTTTTAGTGACTTATATGTCTGAAAAACAATAATAAAAATATTTTTTTAACGATAGATATATAAATTGAAGGAATATTCATATTTTTTTTTATATAAATTCATAAATTATGTTTCAGTATTGTGAGAAAATGTATCACAAAATACACAATAATTTGTTCGTAATTTTATCCAATATAATAATAGGATCATATTTGTCATTGATAGAATTTTGTACCTGGTAATTCTTCTTCTTTATCAGCCAAGGCAAACAAAGTTCCGTAATCACGAAATCTAAATTTCTCAAACTTTATCCCAAAGTCTTTCTCCTCTTGTTGCAGAATTGTTGTTCTCCGATTAAAGCGGATCATCAAGTTGTTATCCGTGAGCCTGTATTTTTTATAACAACGATCAACAATAAAATTATTGATTCTAAATATTTTTCCAACTGTCAAGACGTTTTTGAATTTGTCAGCTTCTTTCGCATCAATAGAGGCTTGTATTACAAAATCCTGTATAAGTGACAAAAAAACCAAAACTTGAAGTTAGATTTTTATTTTAAACATAAATAAATTGATATACAGTTGGATTGTGAAAACTAAATCATATTTGAGTTTATAAAAAAATAAAATAAGGAAATGCACCTTTTCATCCAAAAGAAGCATATCAAAACTCATCAACATTCCATCACGTTTAGTGTTCTTCGATTCCCAAGAACGGATTACACGGACAACTATTTGCCATAAACTATGACTTCTATCAAGTTGATCCAATGTTGAGTAACCAAAATTTTTCTACAGCAAAGATTATGGTGAAAAATAATATTTTAGCACTGACACCATTTGAACTCGCAAATCTAAAGGTATATGGAGTTGAATAAACTATATATACTTTTATTCAGACAAAATTCAATAACTCATTTTGATGATATCAATTGGATATATATTAAAATATTAGATTATCTAAATCCTAACAAAATACTAAAAATATAAATCGTAAATATTATTTTAATCAAAGTTTAGTAAAATAAAATGAGGAGCAAACCAAAATATTGTAAAAATAAAATATCTAAATCTTATAAAATAGGAAAAATTTAAATCCTATTTTTTTTTATAAAAGTTTACTAAGGGAAATGGGAAGAGAACCAAAATATAGTTTTTATAAAATTGAAGGAAAAAATTTCGAAGTAATTAAACAGAAACCTAACGAATTTGTATTATAATTTATAATCATTGCTACGAATAATTTCATTGAAGTAAATAATATATTTTTTTTCAAAGTCACAACTGCAAAATCTTGATTATTTTTATTCAGTGATATAATTTAATCAAACAATATTGATTCCTATTCATATTTATGATAAAAACTTTAATATAACTAATGATAATAATGATAAGTAAATCACAATAATGATATTCGAAGGAAGACATCTAAGTAATGTGGAAATAACATAAAAATATACCTTATGCCCAAGATTGACATCCACTTTTTGATCAGAATGACCAACAATACTCATACTTGCAACTGTTCTGCCAAAAAAAATCTGACGTACAACTATGAAAGGTTATGTATATTAAGATTTTAAAAATTGCTAACAGTAATAAATTGATATGTTTGGTTACTGATTTATTGTGATAAAAATTAAAATCATAAGAATAATAAAAATATAAATACGTGTAAATCTGACTCTATTTTTATATATAATATATAACTCTATTTTTTATATACATAAAACGTGTGTATAAGATATGTGCGAGCATGCATGAGAGATGGAAATTTAACAATATTATGTAGAACATAAAATAGAAAGAGAACAAACCTGCTATTTGGAAATTTTGTTTTTGTTAAGAAAATTGTAGGAAACTACGAAAGAGATGGAAGTCTATATATAGTGTTTTTGGTTAAGATTTGAAATAAATGAGGTCTAAAAGATTTATTGAAATAAATTTAAATTATATGTATCAAATTGGTAAATTGAATTTGTTATTATGTATACATTCAAATTACTAAATAAATGTAATTTTAGATTCCATTCATTTATATATATATGTATTCAGATTCAAAGTCCCATAAAGATTTTTTTTTTTTTGAAAATTGATATTCAGATTCAAACGAAAATTGACTATGTATATGGAGAAGGGTTACCCCTTAATGAATTAATTTCTATTTGAGGACACGTGTCAAGCAAAGGAGGTAAACTCTACTTTTATATATAAAAGATAATGAAAATGTAAATCGTAAAATATAATAAGAAAAAAATAATTAAAAGCAAAATTTTCTTGGCCAATCAATCGTTTACGAGTTCTTGCCAACTTGCCTCAAAGCACAAAATGGCCCTTCGTATTTACTGACCGTTGGGGACACTTTTTTAAACGGTGTCGTTTTAGGTCCAATGTGCGCGCGCGCATTAAATTCGGCTTCCCTATTGGTCAGTGGTCGTCCACTCACGGGGTCCACTAATTAGTTACATTATCGTTTCTTTTACGGAATACTCGGCATTTTATTTGTATATATTTATAAAATTTCAGCACAAATATAATTGTTTTTCCTTATATGGAATATTTTCGGTCCGGTTTTATGTTTTATAACCATAAAACTATAATCTTATGGATTCATTAAAAAATGAAACTCCTAAAAAATAGAATTTAAAATGGCTGTTTTCATGCTTTTTGGGTCGTTTTCATGTATTAATGGAAGGAAAATAATTGATAAAAAAAAAGCGACTTAGAAAAATAAAACAAAAGAGAAATTCTTTAACTATTATATTTTCCCCCCAACTGTTCCTCAGTTGTATAAAAGGACAAGAATCCTTTGGTGATCTCAGTTGTATAAATCACGGAAATGGCCGGGAAATCGGGTTCGTTCCCACAGAGTTTCGTGGAACCCAGCAGAGAGAGGCTTCTCCCGCGAAAAGGGTTCTCCGATTTCGGCTTCAATGACTCCGTCGGAGTCTCCACCGCCGCCGATGGACGTCGCTCCAACTTCGGGTGCTTCCGCTTGTGCTCCGACGGGATCGCCGGCTCCTGGAGAGCGTTATACGACTTCGCCGGGAAATTGTACGAGATGGGTCGCTCCGATCGCCGGAAAGTGCTCTTCGCCGTCAAGATGGGATTCGCTCTCGCCCTCTGCTCCTTCCTCATCTTCCTCAAGCAGCCGCTCAAAGACGCGAGCAAGTACGCCGTGTGGGCGATCCTCACCGTCGTCGTGGTTTTCGAGTACAGCGTAGGTATTTGTTTCGGAATTCTGGCGCGTAATTGTTGAAATTTGATACGATTCAGGGCTTGTTTGATTGGTTATATTAGGGTTTTCAAACTCAAAAACCATCGGAGCTATGTAAGAACATGGAGCGGGGTCGAGTCAATTTCATTACTGATTTTCCTGTCCTTTAGGATTTATGTTCTCCTATGTGTTTTTCAGACTGCCGTCTACTGTCTGATTTTACTGTCTTGGTTAAATGTTTTGTCTTTGATTTGCATTTACTCTCTTTTCTTGCCTGAGAGAAATTTGTTGCGAAATTTACTCTTTTCAGATCAGTTTCGTGATTTGTCCTGTTCGTACGTGGAGATCTTCCCAAAAAATTCGATCTTTTGAGATAATCACTCATTGCTCTGTTTAAATTTGGAGTTGCAGGAGCAACTTTGGTTAAAGGATTCAATAGAGCTTTAGGCACATTCTCTGCTGGAGGGCTTGCACTTGGCGTTGCAAGACTCTCCATCTTAGCAGGAGAGTTTGAGGAAGTCATCATCATAATCAGTATCTTCCTTGCAGGTTGAGACATATACCAATCTCTTGATCCATATTCATGCGCATATATATGCATACACACGCGCATACATGAGCTTATATAGATACTCTCTGCCTCGGTCAATCAATCAGGTGCCTGTTCAAGTTATCTGAAACTCTACCCGATCATGAAGCCGTATGAGTATGCTTTCCGGGTGTTTCTGCTGACATACTGTCTCGTTCTGGTGTCGGGGAACAACAGCAGAGCTTTCTTCAGCACTGCATTTTACAGGTTGTTGCTCATCTTGCTCGGTGCCACTATATGTTTGGTTGTAAATATATTTGTATTCCCGATCTGGTCTGGTGAGGATCTCCATAAGCTGGTCGTTAAGAATTTCAAGAATGTCGCAAATTCCCTTGAGGGTAGGTATATATTATCCCCAGTCGAATATGGCATTTTGATTTTAGTGTGCTCCCTTCTTTTTATTCCACGTTTTTTGACTGGGGAATTGTTTTCCAATATCTAGGATGTGTTAATGGGTACTTGCAATGTGTCGAATACGAGAGGGTGCCTTCAAAGATTCTCACGTACCAAGCCTCTGATGATCCGTTGTACAGTGGATACAGGTCGGTTGTCCAATCTACAAGCCAAGAAGATTCTCTGGTGTGTGTTTTTGCAGTGTGGAAATCTGTTGAATATAAACCGAAAATAATCAATCAGGGTTATTTGTAATTGATCAAACCTCCATTTTTGCAGCTTGGTTTTGCAGTGTGGGAACCTTCACATGGGCCTTACCGCACATTTCACCATCCATGGCAAAACTATGTTAAAGTTAGTGGTGCACTAAGGCATTGTGCTTTTATGGTCATGGCAATGCATGGATGCTTACTTTCAGAAATACAGGTTAGACGCCGTGAAACCTCGTTCTGGTTTTTCTCAGACCGCTGATGTTTTACTCTTGGGATTATGCATTAAGATGCTCCAAGAAAGGGAAACCATTATAAATTTGGGGAATAGTTCTGAATCAAGATCTTAGATTTTCAAATCAGGGTTATCTGTTGGGGGTATCGATAGCTATGCGTGAATGGTCGGGACCCAAATAAGATCTATGAGCACTTTGTTTTAGGACTGGTCCATTCATTCACCTATTGGAAGGAGTATACCCATCTTGAATTACTTTTGGGTCTGTGATCAATTCCATCTTATATATAATTTTACAGGCAGCTCCGGAGAAAAGACATGCTTTCCGCCGTGAGCTTCAGAAGGTTGGCAACGAAGGAGCCAATGTCCTTCGTGAGATTGGGGAAAAGATGGAAAGAATGGAGAAACTTAACCCGCGAAACATTCTGAAAGAAGTTCAGCGCTCAGCAGAGGAACTGCAGATGAAAATAGACAGGAAATCCTACCTTCTGGTCAACTCGGAAAGCTGGGCAGCCATTAAAGAGCAGGCCGCCGATATGGAAGAAGCACAAGAAAACTTTGAAGAAGATGAAAGCAAAGTGATCAAATCACTCAGCCAGATTTGGGACAACAACAACATCAACAGTCAGAACCCGAACACAACAACTGGAAACGAATCTCAGATATGGATTTCAACAGACAGTATGATGTTTAGGAACAGAGAAAACTGGCCAAGTGTCTCGTTCATCGGAGGTTCCGTGGTCAATGAGATCGAATGCAAAGTATACGAGAGTGCGAGTTCTCTATCTCTGGCCACGTTTGCTTCCCTTCTGGTCGAGTTTGTTGCAAGGCTTCAGAATCTTGTGAATGCTTACGAGGAGCTAAGTGCGAAAGCCGGTTTCAAAGATCAGACAAAAGGCAATGTAGATTCTTCTGTCGGATTCTGGACAAGAATCAGGAGATGTTTCGGTAGTTCTGGTCGTTAGCAGAAAAACTTTAACCGAACCAGGGAGAAGGCTGGTTTTTATGAAGTTGCAGTTGCATTTTCTTGTGGGTGAATATATATATACACACACATATGTATGGGTTCTTTTGTTTGTTGTTGTTGTTGTTGGTAAAGCTGATTCGTATAAAATATGTCTTGGTTGTAAATTGGAATAAGTTTCCCGATTCTATTTTGGCAACGAATATACACAAAATCTCAATAGAGATTATGTTTTTGTATATATTGATGATAGTACGGTTCTTCCAAACCAAACCTTTCAAAAAAATTTAATAGTATTTTTCTTGAGAGCTGAATTTTTCGGAACTAAATCGAATTTTAAAAAACTCAAAAAACTAAAATTTTTTAAAGAAAATATAATTTTTTCTTAATAAAAATCGAAAACGAATCGAACTGAAACTAAAATCAAATCGAACCGAATGTGATATAATATTTAATTGGTGCATATTTTTTATAGAATTGAAAGAATCGAACTCAAAAAATTCCCGAATCGAATATCGAAATGTTCACACCACCTGGATGTGAGAACAAAGGAAACAACAACTTAAAACCTGAGGCAAACTTAGTTTTATGAGATCAGCACTTTGGTCATTTTACGATAATGCAATATGGCTTCAGGACCAGGTTTTGAATTGGCGAGCAATTTCTGTAACAGCTCCGGCATCTAAGACTACGACTGGCTGTCGGAAAATCAGTCCGTTCATTTGCTGTCGTGTCCGTCCAGTCCCCATGTCATTCAGTTTTGGCTTCAGGATTTTGCTGTCAAAATTCCAAATTCTCGATGCCGTCCAATCCTACTTGTTCCGCCAATATCCAAATAACCACATCCCATTCATGGGCCGTTCTATTCAATAATATTTACATGTGCTCCAAAACATCTTATTTCAAATTCGACGAAAGATGGTGTTGGTTCGTAAAGTTTCTTTTGATGGTTTGCCCATGAAGAGGCGCCAAATCCATCTAATCGTTACACAATTCAAAAAAAAAATTTATTGAATACAAATGAATTATGATCGCCCTTTTTTTCGTCAGTAACTTCACTATCATCAATCCATAAAAAAATCACACACACACTCTCTCTCTCTCACGACAACCATGCGTTACCCTTACAGCCACGACGCCACCGCCCCTCCTCCTCCTCCGTCATTGCTGACGTGTCCACCGCCGGAACTTCACAAGCCGACCCCTCCTCCTCCTCCTCGTCCTTGGTCCACCGGTCTCTGTCAATGTTGTCTCGACGTCCACGCATGTAAAAAAACATACCGTTTTTTTTCTTTTTCTTTTTACATTTTGTTTCGTTTTTGTTTTCTTCATGTTGAATTCTCTTCGAATATCTAACGTCCTTCGGGTTTCACGTTATACATGTGATAGGCTGTTTGACATGCTGGTGCCCATGCATAGCTTTCGGACGCATCGCTGAGATTGTAGACAGAGGATCGACCTGTGATAAAACCCTAGACCCTTTGTTAGACTTGTCGTTCTTGATTTGGTTTTAGTACTTTACCAATATATATACGTTTTTTACGCAGCTTGCGGGATGAACGGGTTATTATACGGAGCGATAACGATGGTGACGGGATGTGGATGGATGTATTCGTGCTTTTACAGGACGAAACTGAGGGGACAGTACGAGTTGAAGGAGAGCCCTTGCTCTGACTGTTGCGTTCACTTTTGTTGCGAACGATGCGCTCTTTGCCAAGAATATCGACAACTTCGTCACCATGGCTTCGATCTGTCTATTGGTATTTCTTTTTTTACTATATATTATATTAGATTGATAGAAATTTCTAGGGTTTTGCCTTTATAATTTTGTTAGATGATGAACTCGTCTTCTTATAGAAGATACCTAGGGCTTAATCTATTATTTCATAAAAGCCGGTCTAACTAACAAACCCTTGAGCCTCGACGTAAAAATCAATCGAAATAAGTGGGCTATCGTAGATACATAGTGTTTTTTTTTTTAAAATTTATTTCTTATGCATGAATTTATTTGTATATTTCTATTCTATGCAAATATTGGAATGCTTAGCCTATATATTGTTCCATATGAAAACAAAACAAAAATAGGGTGGCATGGAAATATGGACCGGCAGAGGCGACTCAAAGGAACACCTCCATCGGTGGAACCTCCCATGTCGAGATAGATTCTATATGTACACATCCACATATATCATATGTTACATTTAGAAATTAATATTGTATCCATTTTTTTTCTCTATTAAACGGCATTATGATATTATCCATTTTTTTTTGTCTTTATATATATTTCAATATCCTTCCATTTCATTATTTTAATAAAAAAAAATTTAAAAAGAGAGAAACATAAATAGGTTAAATTAGTTGGAAATTCAGATATAGAATTCAACGGGATGATAATGATCCGTTGATTGTCCAACGCATAACAAGAGATGTTTTAATTTCCTGATAATCAACAACAAAGATTCGTTACGGAAACAGAAACTGTATTAGTTATTAGAGAGATCGATCATTACATAAATTTCGAAAGTATATTTTCTTGTTATCGGAATTAGGATTAATTTATCGAGAATTTTAAAAGAAATGTATTCGAACGGTCCGGTGTTCAAGGCAGAGACGACGATGTCTTTCCGAGATCAGCCGTACGCCGGACAACTTCCTCAGGGCCTTTGGACCACCGGACTTTGTGACTGCCACGAAGATCCTCAAATCTGTACGTCACAATTTCGATTTTTCAATCCATTTCGATCGATTTAGATCTTTCTCTAAATGTTTTCGTCATGTTTGATCTTAATCCATTAGGTTTTCAGACCGCTGTCCTGCCATGCATCACGTTTGGGCAGAACTCGGAGATCGTCAGCAGAGGAACAATCCGTAAGAAAGAAAGAAACCCTTTTGAAATTCGATTCGATATTATTGTTTTCGAGGGGTCTAATCGTTGGGAAAAAAACAGCATGGTCGAATTCGAGTTCAATACATATGGTGCTGAGTTTGGTGGGATGCTGTTGCATCTATGGCTTCCCGAACAGGACGAGGCTAAGAGAACACCTCTCCCTGCCCGAGGAGCCATGCCGAGACTGCCTTCTCCATATCTTCTGCACCCATTGTGCTCTCTGTCAAGAATCTCGTGAGCTCAAGAACCGGGGAGCCGATCCCTCCATCGGTACGTGACCGATCTCTCTCGTTAGAATTAGGGTTAGGGTTAAGGTTAAATCTCTATATACACGTAATCACGATAGTACCATTTGTATCGTTCTTTTCAGGTTGGCAAGCGAATATAGAGAAATGGAGCGAAGAGAAAATAACTCCGCCGATTGTTGTACCTGGAATGTCTCGTTGAGGTTTGTATATCCCAATATGGGGAAAAAACCTTCTGTAGGTGTCTGAAATTTTCAGATGAAAAATGATGATTCCGAATGGTTTAAGTTCAAGTTTTTGATGACATGGATCACAAGTGCCTGCAAAAACATAAACAGATAAATGTTAGCAGATCTTTTTTTTCTCAACAAAAAAAAAAATATGTATGTGTACTGAACTACATAAACACGATCAAAACCTTGAAATATTGGATCTTTACATTTAAGACAAATCAAGAAAGGACGGATTTTTCCGACAGCCCGTGATTCAGATGACTGAACTGAATCCATCAGACACAATGAGAAAGCAAAAACACAATGTTTTTTTTTTATTTTCAAAAAAACACAGTGTTATCAATGTCTCGTTAGAAAAAACACAGAGAAGTTATTGGAATACAGTAACTTTCAGAATCGAGCGGAACCCAGAAAATCAGTTCCATTCAAAACTTCGTCGGTATCGAATTCAGATGAAAAGGCGAACTCATCGCCGGAGGAGATGATGGAGGCGTGATCGGACCAAGGTATTATGATGAACAGAGCCACGAAGATGATGCCGGAGACATAGACAGAGACGGAGACGGAGAGAGAAGCAGAGAATAGAGCCAAGGTGTGTATAACACCTTTCAGTAAAGTGGATTGTCTTGTAATATTGAATGGAAGTATATAGTAAGACATTATTCTTAGAATATTACTATGATTTACTCTAAATATTATGTGTAGAATATTCTATTGTATTTTTTTTTTATATTAGCGTGTATCTTTGGTAATTAATTAATAGAAAAATATTTCCATCATGATTTCAGAGTTTTCGTTTTTGTTCTAGATTTTTTTTTCTCTATCAATAATGTTGGTTGAATCTGAAATCGACGATGGAGATGGACATGGTGATGAAGATATACTAAATTCAATAGTATCATCGCCTGAGTATCTCGTCTTACATTCATTTTGCTCTTTTTTATAGTTTCTTTCTTGTCGGTGGTGTTCATCACTGTCAACCCTAACCGATATGCTATTTTTTTTTTCAGTTGACGTTCGTTTATCGATGTTAACCCTAGCCGTTGTGAGCTCTTTACACCTGGCTTTTAACTCCTTTCGATTGGAAAACTTTGATTGTCGATCTACGTATTTGCTTCATTTATTTTTATTTTTTTCTCTTGTTCCGCTGCTAAACTATCACGCATTATGCGTTGCGCTTTTACACCCTTATTTTTTTTTCTCCGATCTAGCCGCTATATACATCGTAATTTTTTGCGTTGCCGACCTCATTGTCATGCAATCCAACTCACGTATACGCGTCACACTTTTATGCCACATCAACTCTTCAAATGTTATCAAGCAACACTGACTCAAGTCTGAACTACACCATCATATGGAAGATGATTCGTTTAATACGATCACAATTTCAATTTTCAGTTTTGATGTAACAAGATTGAATTCATTATAGATGATTCATCTTGAATAGTATATAGGAAGATATTATTCCTAAAATATTATCATTAATATTGTTATGATTTACCTTAGATATTATATCTAAATATTCTATTATATTTTCCTATATATTAGTTTATATCTTGTCGGTAACTAATTAATAGAAAAACATTTCCACGATGCACTAAACCCATATTAAAGTTCAATTTTTTTTTAATTGTGCTTGGTGTAGTACTTTATCTTCAAATAATCAAAATCTAAATGTAGCCTTTCCTGTGTAATGGAATTTGGTGGCATCAACACTTCTTGTCCCTTTTTTTTGGTTATGTTGACTATTTATGAAATAGTATACCACATATATATATATATGTATGTATGTGCGTATACATCAGTTATCAAAATTCAATGTGTTCATTTTGACCGGTAACTGCTCCCTCGTTTTTTTTTCTTTGAAATTTGAATTACAAACACAAGAACAAGATCCACATTTACTTCTTCTTAACCGCAAGGTTAAAACAGTAATTTAAGCCAGCGACGAGAAATCCAATTCATCTTCTTTCCCTCGGGAAATCTTAAACTATAAAAAATCTGACAACTTAGCACTTATTGGACGAGAATGCAATGACGGAGTTCGCCAGATCGAAAGTGACACGTGTCCCCTGCTGCTGCACGTTGCCGATTATCGCCAGCGACGACGCCGTCGGCGCAAACGCCAGGCAGAACGTCCCCTTCGAATCCACCGGAATCAGGCAATTCTTCGCCGGTAGCGGCAGCATCCTCCCGCCGGGAAAATGGAGCGCCACCGTCGGAACCTCCACCTTCGTCTTCCCCGACAGATCGTAGCACGTGTCGAAAAGCGCCACGCCGCTCACTGTCGGGAGATCCGGCGTACCCTTCACGAACGAGTCCCTCAGCGAGTTGTATATCTCTGTTTGCAGACGAGTCACGGCGGTTCCCGAGTCGATTATGATCCCGCCGGTTCCTGTCTCGGTCATCTGGAAAGCTGACTCGGGAATCGGCAGCAAACCGCCGCCCACACTGATTCCGGTGAGACCCAGGTAGTAAAACGTGTCGAACTGGTGGTTCCGCAGCAATGGAGCCACGACGGTGTTCGGAGGAAGAGACGAGCCGAACTCGAGAGTCGACGCCGAGTCCGAGTCACGATCCACGAGACAGTACGAGAACGACGTCGCGTTGAGCTGCGACGGTAGAGACAGCAACCCGCCGCCGAGTCCGAGCAACCCGGCGGCGCCGACGAAGAGACCTTCGTTGCTGTGGCCGCAACCGATGGCGATGTGCTCCACAGAGGCAGACCCGATCGTGAGTGTCTCCGTGACAAAGTCGCCGACCGTATACGACCCGTCGCCGTACGAAACCTCGTACAGACATGATTGGTTCCTGCAATCGGACACGTCGAGGGCCTTACACTCAGGGGTGAAACAGGAGAGGGGAGCGTAGGAAGACGAAGACAGAGGATCGAAGATTGGGTCGGCTTGCTGGTAGCAGTCGGCGCAGGGAGCGCACTGTAACCAATTCACATCGCTGCCGGTGTCGATGACCATGTAAACCTGACGAGGTGGGTTTCCGATTCCGACCCGTGAGAAGTACTCGCCGCTACCCTGGCTCGTGCCGGATACCACCGGCCCTTCGATCTCCGCCGTGGTGGTCTTCGCCATGAGATCCGCCAGCGACGCCCCGTTGACTGCCTGACCTAGACGAGTCACGAGAGATCTGACTCGGGCTGAGTCGCGCTCGAGTCGGGACAGTGTAAGGGTCCGGTAGTCTCGATGTTCATTCTCCCGGACCGAAGCTCGGGAATGCAGTTTCAAGCTAAGCGGCGACGACGCTGGACTCTGTTCTTCCTGTTGGTTCAACCGAAACGCCGTCATCTCATGGCTTAAAGACGCTATTTCCTTGACTGTCTGAATGGAGCCGGCGACATCAAGAACCGACGTCGTTTTGAGGGTCTCTGGTAAGATTCTGGAGAGAACAGTAGAATGTGAGAGGAGAAGGAAAAAGATGGAGAAGCCGAAGAGACAATGGAAACCCATCTTCGTATTCGACCGTTAGGGTTTCACAGGAGGAGGAGGAGGACAATGGGTTATTCACAGAGAGAGAAACCAACTTTCATAAATAGAAAGCAGAGCGAAAGGAGGAAAAAGTTAAAAAAGGGAAAGGTTGGTGGAGAAGAGAAAGAGCGAGAAAGCTTTGTTTAATGAGTTAAAAGAAGCTTTGGAATTGGAATTTTTTTTATGTATCCGAGGGATATAATTAATTAGGGTTCATCATCGTCTTTAAGTGTGTGGATAAGAAATTGACAATGCTCATAGTGTGGCTTTCGTATTTTATACGGAGGCAATTAAATTAAAACCCCAACCCTTTTGTCGTTACGTTCTAATTTTGTATAAAAAAACAAGTTTGGACATCTATAGCATCGTTCTACTGCTGTTATCTACAAATTGCATGATTAGTGTTTTTACTGTTGAATGCTACTTGGATGTGTTGCGATTATTCTGCCGCGGCACGTCTCAGACATCTGTCATAATGTTTTGCAGAGCACATCCACTTCTGTTCGAGGGGAGAGAGAGAGCATTTGATTCAAAATAATATGTTTGACCCGGTGGGCCCATGTGTAGTAACTGGGCCTTTGTTGGGTCCAGATAATTGGGCCTTGATGAAGAAAATGAGTCATGGACTTCAAATGTTTTTTTTGTTGTAATTATTAATTTCATTATTGTTATACAAAACACTAATAGAAGTGGCACGCGTCAGTGTTTTATCCTCACTCCTCACTAAAATTGCGACGTAACCAAAATATTAAGATTCTCGGCTTCGAACACTTCTTCTAAGTCAAGCTTCTCTGGGTCCCACACATTATTGTTGAATTTGATTCGTCCACGTGGCAGAATCTTCCAATCGAGAGAATCAGATCCGATAAACCACGTTTAATCTCGCCAGCCGTTCGCGTGCAATCCACGCGAATCAAACCCCAGAAAGCATCGCGTTTTAGCTCACAAAGCCTTTACACGCGATTTCGTCTCTGTCTCCTCTCTAGGCGGCGAGTGTGAGATCCTGCCGCCGCCGCCGCCGCCAGATTTCGCCGACGCTTTTCTCCGATTGTAGATTGTTCGTTGTCGATTGACTCGGAAGCCATGGGCTCGCTTGTGCAGGTACAACCGATCAGTTTAGCTTGAGAATCTATAGGCGACCGCAATTTTTTGTTTTCGGAAACGAGTCGATGTCGAAGCTTATCTGGGTTTCTTATCGATCGATTCGTAGGGGTTTACCAAGTCACTGGCCATGACTTTTCTGTCGGAAATCGGCGACAAGACGTTCTTCGCTGCTGCTGTAAGTGACGTTCTTCGATATATTTCAGTATAAACTCTGTCTTGCCAAGCGTTCGGGTTGAACAATTCGATAATCGTATGTGAATTTTGATGACTCAGTCCAAAATCTTTGTTGGTAAAAAAAAAAAGGGTACTGTCAAGGTTTGGTTGATTACTTCGGGAAACTGATACAGCAGTATCTATCCAAGAAATTTATTACCAGTTTCTTCCATTCCATTATAGCGAAATCAATGGATAGGGGTTTATGTTATCTGACACTTGTAGCGTCTGCTCCTTGGTTAATGCCAAGTTTAGGAGATTGTAATGTGCTTCATACTATTTTTTCTGATGCTGATCTTTCTTTGTGTTGTGCCCAGATTTTGGCAATGCGCTATCCAAGAAGACTTGTGTTGGCCGGTTGCCTCACAGCACTGATTGTGAGTTTCTCTCCGTCTTTTACTTTTTCGGGTTCTATGGCCTCGTCCCCATTTCGAAGTCTCATGTCCTTCTAATTCTAGGTCATGACTATTCTCTCCGCCGTCGTTGGATGGGCTGCTCCAAATCTGGTAAGAGCCTTCTACTCTCAATCCCGTGGAATGCTTGTAGGTTTTCTATCGCAGTTCCGAGTTTTTCAAATCTTCACGTGATGATGTTTTGAAACTTGCCTGTAGATCTCTCGAAAATGGACTCACCACATAACTACATTATTGTTCTTTGGTTTCGGGCTGTGGTCTCTGTGGGACGGTTTTAAAGAAGGAGGGTAAGAGCTCTTTATCAACATTTTGATCGCATGGAGGTGGATATTTTTAGTTCGGAGCATATTTCTCGATATGAATGTCATTTGGTTCTTTTCTGTTGATAGAGATTCTGAAGAATTGGCTGAAGTTGAAGCAGAACTGGTTGGTTGGTTGGCTGTTTTTCTTGCTATGCCCTATTTCATGCTTCAAGCACAGAACTTTTTGGCTTGACTCATGTTATATAACAGGATTCCGACTTGAAGAAAGGCGGAAACGCAAAAGAAAACGGCAAGGTATAGAAACGAATATCACAGTTAACTACTTCACGAGAGGACTTCATCGCCTGTACTGCACTGAAGTTTCCAGCTTTTATCCGATCCGACCTTGTAGGTTGAAGATGAACAGAAAAAGAAGAGAAGGCCATTTCTCACACAATTCTTTTCTCCCATTTTTTTGAAGGTAACAAAAAGATCCTCAAAAAACTGCTAAAAGAATCTGAAAAGAACTGAACTTTTTCCTAGATTAGTTTTCATCATTCATCCTTTCATGTAGGCATTTTCGATTAACTTCTTTGGTGAATGGGGTGACAAGAGTCAGGTATATACTTCCCGTCTTTTTTCCATCTCATCGTTTGATCAATCAGTTCCTCACCCGTGCTTCACATACTCACCAAATAACTCATTCCCAGCTTGCCACTATCGGTTTGGCTGCTGATGAAAACCCATTCGGTGTGGTCCTTGGTGGAGCTGTGTATGTGTCTCCCTCTACAAAAAAACACGCCTTCGACTGAATTGGATTTTACCCTTTTGTATGTTTCTGACCATGGATGCTTTTGCAGAGCACAACTACTGTGCACGACAGCGGCTGTCATCGGTGGAAAGAGCTTAGCATCTCAGATATCGGAGCGAATTGTAATAAAAGCTCATTGCCCTTTTCCTGCATTACTTACATGAACAATCTGATTTCTTGTAATAACTTTCGACAAACCCAACATGGGTCTATGTTGTCGTCGCAGGTTGCTCTTTCCGGTGGGATACTCTTCATCGTCTTCGGCATTCAATCTTTTCTTTCTCCGGTTGAACCCTGATGATGACGCTGACTACCTTATCCCCTATGGTATTCTTCTGATTCCCCGGCATACCGAAAGAAACGCGTGTTGAATGTGTATCATCTTGCGCCTCTTACCATTCAAACACTCCCCAGGATATGATTTGAGATGTTTACAGAAACGATTAGAAGATGAGATATTCATCTCTAGGGCCGGTATTGACTTGAACGCAACAAGCATTTTCCACTAATTCAGGACAGTTACCGCATGTTCTTTAGCAGCAAGCACAATAAATAATCTTTTTATGGTTTGTGAAGAAAGTTATAAGATGGAGGCAATGAGCATTTGCTTCCAGGGTTAAACGTAACCAAATATTCAAAAATATAATATCGTAGGCATCTATCTGATTTGTGAATATATGACTTTCGTGTATTTTTTGTTTATTTGGGGTATGGGACCAGGGTCGTCTATTAACGTGTGCAATAGGTGCAGGGCCCCAAAATCGTGGGGGTCTCACTTTTTTTTTTTTGTAAATCCCACCTAATTTTAATAATATTAATAATATATATTATTAAATATAGTTATAATAAAGAAATAACAATTCTCTCGTACGTTATCTATTTTTAATTAAATAAATTATCACCAAAATTTAGGGTCCCACTTAATTTTAACTTAGTTAATTTGTATATTTTGTTATATTAAATATGTTTTTATCATTTTTAAATATTATTATTTTTTATTATATTAATTAATAATTTTTATTATTTTAAAATTATAATATGTACGTGATCTTTAAATTTTGTGAGACGGCCCTGTATGGGACGTTTCTTTAATAATCATCCAATGAATATGGATACGAACCGATGTTGGATATTGTCGATATATATGCATATTTGTTAAGATATGACCTATTATCTTTCATCCTTTTGCGGATATGAATTCAGGTATTTTGAATTTTTTTTTTTTGTTATCCAAAATCTAATTTTTGTATTATATATTTTTTATTATAAACATTTTTAATAGATTTCTATACCCAACTGTTTTGTAGTTTTTTTTTGTTATAAACCTTAATATTCGAATATTTTGGATATCTTGAATTATTTTGTACTTCACTAGTCCCTAAGCCTAAAATACTCCATCTTCAGGACAACATGGCTTTTGCAAATGTTTAGGCTACTAAATTAATACAAGCATGGCATTGGTAAATACTGAAACCATTTTATGATAGTGATTTCGTGTATACAAACTAGAGTGGGTACTGGTCGAGTATTCAAAATTTTAGGGTTAACTGAACCCAAATCCGGACTTGAATTTTTTACAAAAAAATCATTCGAATTCAAATCTGATTTGGTCGGATATCCGAAAACCTGATACTCAACAAAATATTCGAGTATCCATGAATATCCGAATCCGAATTTTAAAATCAAAATTTCAATAAAAATGTGGACGTTTAAATGAAATCTTATATAAAAATTGTCCAAATATAAAAAGAACAAAAATCTATAGGTGACCATAAAACATTCTTTCAGATGTTTAATCAGAATTTCAATTCCATTATCATGTGCAACTTCACATCCACATTAAGAACATGTCCTTACTTGCATCTTTTTGGATCTATCAAGAAAAGATAAGTAAATTGTATCATAAGACATAAAATCAAGCAATATAAAACTTACACAAATAAACTTATATTTGTTTATCTTGTTAATCTGATTCATATCTTCTTTCAATATTTTCACTTCCCTTTCATATTGGATAATCTACAAAATTAAACATATAAAATGAAACAATAAATATATAAAATATTCATATACATACATAAATACATAACAAATCATACATTCTTTAAATTTCACAAAGTCATTCAATGATTTTCAAGTGTTACCGACCCATAATTCGATCGAAAACAATCTTGAGTACAAATCAAAGCTATAACTAGTTGCGGGATAAGAGAACTACAAAATGGATCGATAACATGATCACTCGTACTAAAGGCAATTTCCTATGCAACGGTTGATACTGATATAGCCAAAGATGAGAAATAATTGGATATTTTTTACCGGAAACCTTTCACCAAGATAAAATATCAAAATTTTATGTTGATTTCTCGCATTCATCCGAAAAATATTTCTCCAACTCATTCTCGATATCCCATCTTCATTCTCTTTTGTATAGTTTTCAAATTGTAAGTCTATAACCTAATCACTAATCACATCAACAATCTCGTCTAATGCAACATTTGATTGAATTTGTGTAAAGGATGATTGTCCATTAAAATAAAAACTTTCATAATAGTTAAACAATCTTCTCAAAGCATCATCAAGCATCTCAATCACTTCTTCGGTTTTAGCTTTATCATCATAACTTTCACAAATTATCCAAATAACATATTTTCAATTTATATCGAGGTTTAAGAACACGTGCTACAAAAACAATCATTTCACACTATCTGAATACCAATACTTATCAAATTCCATCTTCATCCTCACAGTCATAGACCTCTTACTTTTATCACTAGAATTAAACAATCGTTTAATTTTATACCCCAAACCAAATATCATCTTCATGTATTCACTCCCAATAACGTATAAGATTTTCAAAATCGCATCATAAAAATATTTCAAGATGGGTAGAGAAGATTGAGCATAAATCCAATCAACCTCTCTCGACGGACCATAACCATTTTTGAAAGATCTTCCACATATGTTTGTTCTATAGACTCAAGCATATCAAACCTTTTCTTAAGTTTTAAAGCTTACTCCAACATAAAAAAATATAGAATCCACTTTGTTTCTACGTCTAAACAAACTTTAACTTTAGTATCTGTTACAACATAGTTATTCTGTTACGATTTCATACTTATCTTTCTGTTACTTAGTCCTTATCTTGGATTTGTATAGTTCCTTTCCTAGATTTTAGCTATATCGTTTCTGATTTAACTTGTATTTATATGCTGTACATGAGGATGAATAAAGTACAAGTGACATTTTATTCTTGAACTTCACATGGTATCAGAGAGTAAAATCCGCATCGCTTTACTTTCTCTTTTCCTTCTGTCCTTTTCTCTACTTTTAAACCCTGTTCTTCTTTGACTTTTCTTCTTTTTTCATGATGACTGACACTTCTGATATGTCGTCATCACCTCCTCTCGTTTCTACACCACATGTGACTTCTTCTTCCTCACCCACACCCAATATTGATCCGTATTCGAACCCTTTGTTCCTTCACGCAGCTGACACTTCAAGTGTTTCTTTGATTTCAGACAAATTGGTTGGTGAATCAAACTTCCATGTCTGGTCTCGTTCTATCACAAAGGCTCTTAACGCCAAAAACAAGCTTGGTTTTGTGGATGGCTCCATTCCACAACCTTCGACTGATGATCCTTCTTACGGTTCTTGGTCTAGGTGCAATGATCTTGTTTGCACATGGCTGCATAACTCCGTTTCTTCAGACATTGCAAGTCTGATTATTTATCATGATAATGCTCATGATGTGTGGCAGAACCTGGAGAATAGGTTCAAGCGGAAGAATGTTTCGAAAGTCTACAACATTCAGCAGCAATTGGATAATCTGCATCAAGGGTCAATGGATCTCAACACCTATTTCACCAAATTGACAAGTCTTTGGGAAGAGCTTAAAAATCATGAACCGTTTCCCGTTTGTTCTTGCGGTGGCTGCTCTTGTGACCTTGCTGGAAGGTGGCAGGACCTGAGTGACAAACGGAACGTTGTTCGTTTTCTCATGAGGCTCAACGACTCTTTTACTCCTGCAAGGCGTCAAATTCTGATGATGGATCCGATGCCGGATTTGACTCGTGCTTACAATCTGATCTCGCAGGAAGTTCATCAACGTGCTCTGTTTTCCTTTCCAACAGACTCAGTAGCGTTTCAGACTTACAGTACACGTCCCAAGACCTCTGATTTGCCTATTCCTCCTGCTCGTTCTGCCCCTACTCAAAGGACTCGCCCTCAATGTACCCATTGTGGTATGATGGGTCACACCGTTCAGAAATGCTTCAAGATATTTGGATATCCTCCAGGTTATAAACCGAATTCTTCTCAACCTTGGATTTCTGGTCATTCTTCTCGACAGCAGAAGAAATTTTCTCCTCAGCAGTCTTCCCCTTTGGTTAACTTGGTTCATGCTGCTGGCAAGTCTGTGGATCACAATTCTGGCAGCAAATCTGCGTTAGAGCAAGCTCAGATGTTAATCTCGCAATTGAGTTCTCAGCTCAAGGATCTAAGTACTTCTGCCACTGATTCTGCTGATACAGTCCCACCTTCTAATCCTTCAGGTATCCCTTTACACCCTTTGCTCTCTACATCTGAACCTAGCCTGCCTTTACCACCAACTTCTTGGATTTTGGATACTGGTGCTAGTAATCATGTCTGTCAGGATTTGTCTTTGTTCTCGGAGATTCATGAAATTCCTACCATCTCGGTCACTTTACCTGATGGTTCATTCCTCTCGGTTTCAAAGTCCGGAACTATTATCATTTCCTCATATCTTATTCTGCATTCTGTGTTGTTTATTCCAGATTTTCACTATAATCTTTTAAGTGTCTCTTGTCTTACAAAAAATTCTTCTCTCTCAGTCGCCTTTTCTCATGATTGTTATGTCATTCAGGACCGTTCTCGGGACTTGACGATTGGCAAGGGTAGACAATCTCATGGTCTGTATATTCTTGCCATGCCGTCTCGTGATTCTTCTTTTTTATCTTCTTTACCTCTACCTACTTGTTCTGCACTCACTTCCTCGCCTATTGATATTTGGCATCGCAGATTTGGTCATCCTTCTGATGTCAAGAATCATGGACTTGCCAACCAGAATCAGCTTCGTTTTTCTTTAGTTTCTTCGAATAAAACGCATTGTGACATTTGCCATTTGGCTAAACAAAAGCGTCCTGCATTTCCTTCTTCTACGTCTGTTTCTGTTAAACCGTTTGATTTAATTCATTTGGATATTTGGGGTCCCTTTCACACACCTACTATTAATGGACATCGTTATTTTTTTACTGTTGTTGATGATTATTCTCGTGTTACTTGGGTTTATCTCCTGCAAAATAAACACGATGTTGCTTCGATATTTCCGCAGTTTGTCTCACTCGTGAACACTCAGTTTTCTGCAAAAATAAAAGCAATTCGTAGTGACAATGCTCCTGAACTTGCATTTACTGATTTTTTACCCAAACTTGGGATTGTTCATCAGTTTTCTTGCCCGTATACTCCTCAACAAAACTCGGTTGTGGAACGTAAACATCAGCATATTTTAAACGTAGCTCGATCCCTTCTTTTTCAATCAAACGTACCATTACCTTATTGGGGAGAATGTGTTGTCACTGCTGTTTATCTTTTCAACAGAACTCCTTCCATGGTTCTTCAAAACAAAACCCCTTTCGAATGTCTCACCGATACAAAACCGTCGTTTTCTCACCTTCGCGTGTTCGGTTGTTTGTGTTACGTTTCCACCGTTTCAAAAACTCGTCACAAGTTTTCTCCCAGAGCATCTCCTGCTGTTTTTTTGGGTTATCCCATTGGCACTAAAGGTTATAAGGTCTTGGATTTGGCAACAAATGTGATTTCCATTTCTCGCGATGTCATCTTTCATGAAACAATTTTTCCTTTTCACTCTTCTGACTTATCTTCTTCCACTCTTGGTTCGTTCCCTGATTCTTGTTCACCATATTTTTTATATGATGATCCCTTGGTTTCCTCTTCCTCTTTGCCATCTTCTATTTCGGCACCCTTGTCTCCTGCTATAGCGTCTCAGTCTTCATTTTCTTCTGATATTGTTTCTTCTTCTACTACGGCTTCTTCAGATACTTTACATTCTTCAAATTCTGATCCCTCTGAGAACATTAGCAGACCTGTTAGACAAATCAAACCCCCATCCTACCTATCAGACTATCATTGCTACATGTTGTCTAACCTTCCCAAATCCCCTGCTATTTCTTCTACATCGCACCAATTGGCCTCTGTTTTATCCTACGACAGGTTATCACCCTCTTACCGTCATTTTGCCTTATCTATAACTACTACCCCTGAACCCACTTCATATACCCAGGCTGCTAAGCATAGTCAGTGGCGGGAGGCTATGAAACTCGAGCTTGGGGCTCTTTTACGGACAAACACTTGGACTATATGCTCTTTGCCTCCTGGTAAGAAGCCGGTTGGCTGTCGTTGGGTATTCAAGACCAAGTTTCATGCTGATGGCTCGATTGAACGTCATAAGGCTCGTCTTGTGGCAAAGGGTTATACACAACTCGAGGGAATCGACTTCCTCGAAACCTTCAGTCCCGTCGCTAAAATGCCCACTGTTCGAATTGTTCTTGCATTAGCTGCTGCAAACAATTGGATTCTTGATCAGATGGATGTTTCTAACGCGTTTTTGAATGGTGATCTTGACGAGGATATTTATATGGTTCTTCCACCGGGATACTCTGCTCTTCAGGGGGAGTCTGTTGCTCCGGATTCAGTTTGCAAATTAAATAGGTCCCTTTATGGTCTTCGCCAAGCCTCGAGGCAATGGAATCGTAAACTCTCACAGGTTCTTTTGCAGGCTGGATTTCAGCAATCACATGCTGATAATTCTCTTTTTACCAAACAATTTGGATCGTCTTTTGCAGCCATACTTGTTTATGTCGATGATCTATTAATCACGGGCAATGATGCAGCTGTTGTTTCAGAGCTTAAAGAAACTCTACGTTCGCATTTCCAGATCAAAGATCTCGGCCCAATGCACTATTTTCTTGGATTGGAAGTTGCTCGTTCTGCCAAAGGGATTTACTTATGCCAGAGGAAGTATACTTTGGAACTTTTGGAGGAATTTGGTATGCTCGATTGCAAAGCTTTGGCCACTCCTATGGAATTTGGCTGCAAGCTCAGTCTTGAATCAGGTGATCTCATCTCAAATCCCACTCATTATCGAACCTTGCTTGGGAAATTGATTTATTTGTCCCTTACACGACCTGACCTTGGGTTTGCCGTTACCAAGTTAAGCCAATACATGGCTAGTCCTCGCACCTCTCATCTCCAGGCCACGTACCGTGTTCTGCGTTACTTGAAAGGTGCTCCGGCTCAAGGTCTGCTTTATCCTTCGACATCTTCCCTGCGGTTGAGTGCTTACACGGATGCTGATTGGGCCTCGTGTCCAGACTCCCGTCGTTCTGTCACCGGCTATTGTGTATTTCTGGGTGATGCTTTGGTTTCTTGGAAATCGAAGAAACAACCCACCATCTCTCGTAGCTCGGCGGAATCTGAGTATCGCGCGATGGCACAAGCAACTTGTGAGCTCGTTTGGGTTGACGCTCTGTTACGAGACCTTCACATTGTTTATCCTCGTCCGGTTTCTCTCTACTGCGACAATCGTTCAGCGATACACATTGCGAACAATCCGGTCTATCATGAACGCACCAAACATATCGAGCTTGACTGCCATTTTGTTAGGGAGCGTCTGCAATCCGGATTTCTCAAACCTTTACATGTTGGCTCGACTGACCAGGTGGCGGATATACTTACTAAACCTGTATCTGTCGACATTTTTCGGCGAATGCTAGTCAAGATGGGAACACAACATGTGTTTTCTCCATCTTGAGGGGGAGTGTTACAACATAGTTATTCTGTTACGATTTCATACTTATCTTTCTGTTACTTAGTCCTTATCTTGGATTTGTATAGTTCCTTTCCTAGATTTTAGCTATATCGTTTCTGATTTAACTTGTATTTATATGCTGTACATGAGGATGAATAAAGTACAAGTGACATTTTATTCTTGAACTTCACAGTATCAAGGTCTTTCTTTAAATTTTTCAGCCGTATTTGTTTGAAGACCTCACATAATGAACTGCCAAGCGAATATGACAAATGGATTCATACAAGTCTTTCAAACCATCTTTCATAACCAAACCCAAAATATGAGTCTCACACCACATATGCAAAAATAATCATCTAAAATATTTGTTTTCCATGTCTTAAACATCTTTTTCAAATACTTTAGTCTCACATCATTGGTAATGGATATAGTGTTCTAACCACGATCGGTTTGTGAAACTGATTAGAAATCCATTGAATGGTTTTAGATGGTCTAATGAACCCATATATTTAATAATAAGTCTAATGGTTAAGAAAACATAATTCATGGTTAAGAAAAACAACAGAATTTTCGTCCTCTTCCTCTCCACTTCGGTCGACGCCTCTATCTCTTTTGAGTTCGTCTCGATTTTCGTTCCTGACCTCCAGATCTGTTCTAGCAGATACAAACTCGTGAGTGTGGACTACCTATAACCCTAGAAACCGTTATGAACGCATGTTTAGATATCTCCAAATATCCAACAATTGGTGTTTGCATTATCAACCGTGATAGTAAACATTTTTTTTTATCTTCCAAACATTCAAACATTTCTCCACACCAATCGTTTCCCCCGCACAGTGGCGGACACAGAAAATTTTATCAATGGAGGCAAGAAACAATAGTAATATAAATAAATATATATATATTATAAAAATTTATCTAAAAAATATTTAAAATCAATAAATAAATTCTATGATTTTTTATTTTTTAAAATATATTTATATAACTCCATTTGTAATTGCTTGAATTATATTTTTTGATAAAATAAACTAGATAATAACTCAAAAATTAAAAATTTAATGTATTATGGGTTAGACTTTTTTGAGTAAATTATCGGTTGAACTTTCTACCAAATCAAATAAAAATTCAATAAATATATAAATATATATATATAGATAAATTTATAAGTATAATAAATATATAAAAACAAATAAATAAAAAATAATAAAGATTATTTAAATTTACAATTTTTACAAATATTTTTTCTTTTGTTTTAGTTTTTATTTTATTATAATTAAATTGATAATATTTTTTATTTGACTAAAAGAAAAGTAAAAAACTTGAAAATGAAAAATAACAGAAAAAATAATAGACTAATTTTTTTATTAACTAACATCACAAAATACATGAAAAAAATTTAAACTGGTGGGGTCCGCGATAAAATTTTAACAGGGCATTAGTACGTTCTCTTTAAAATTTTATTAAATTTTATAACTAATATTTTTAAAAGAAAAAAAACAGTGGGGGCCAGTGCTCCCACTCCTCCCCATGTAGGTCCGCCCTTGCCCCCACATGATTGGGTATTAGACAAAAGTTGATAAGTTTTATACAACTTTCACTCGTCATCAATAAAATGGTCGACAACTACATATAGTTTATGTTTTGAACGGATATCCAAGTATCTGTCGTGAGGGAAATACACCCTTTGTGTTTCCTAAAAAAAATCACACAACACATTCCTTTCTTCTATAAACAAATTCATGCAATCCCTAGTTATCGTCTTTCTTGACAGAATAATAAATGGGGTTGAAACATATGCACGAAATCCCTAAAGCCCTCTCTTTCAACAAATCTAAAGGGTAATTCGCCCAATATAATCACTCGGATCAAAGCTTTCCGACATAATTTCTAATTAAATACCAATGATGAAGAAACCCCTTTAGTTTTATCACTTTTCGACGATGATACAAAGTCGTTTGCTTTAACCTTTTTGAACTTTGATTATCACTATCCTAACGAGACCTCTTTTTGCAAAGCCTTATTTCAACATAACACTTGTTGATGTGTCCGTAACTGTAGAACAAGTAATAGAATAACTATAATGATCGCTTAGATTTCTTTTACCTTCACTAGTTTTTTAAAAATGATTCCAACCATCAGATTTAGGCTTAGGAGATAAAATATCTTATTATCATTAGACATATTTGTGTGGATAAAGATATATATCTTCATCTCTTGAACTACTCTTTAATAATGAAACTATTATTTCACTCGCTTGAGATGCAACTTTCGGTGTCTTTGAACTTTTAACCATATAAACATATTAATTTCGATCAACACTTAGTCAAAACATACAAAAATTACTCAAAAAATCTGATCAATACTCTTTTATCCATTCAACACATCATAAACATTGAAATCAAATCATAAACATCTAAAAACAATTGAATCAGAAACACCTAAGAAATATCTAAAAAACGAACAAGCAATATCAATGTTAACTACTAATCAAACCAAATCACAGTCAGAAAAACACCTAAGTCGCTAATTGAAGAAACGAAATCAAACCAAATAAGAAAATACCTAAGAAACACTAAGAAATACCTAAAAAAATATGCACAGATCCACAGTCGAAGAAATGAGCAAACAACAGTCGAAGAAAACAAGCAAGACACAGTTGAAGAAACGAAAACAAATATACTAATGTTAACTACTAAATCGAAACCATAGAATCAGAAAATGAACAAGCAATAGTCGAAGAAACGAGATATTTCTATAGGAGAATAGTCAAAGAAATGATCAAATTTAGAACCTGAGAAAAAAGTAGAACGAAACTCAAACAAACGAGCAACAGAACAATTGATGAAGAAACTTACCCAAAAAATGACTAATCTACAATCGGCGAAGCGAAACCTAGGAGAGATAGGCACGGTCTGAATTTGAGTAAAAAAAATAGAAAATTAACTACACTTTATAAGGAAACAAACGATGCAAGTTTAAGGCGAAACTTACCACAGAAATCGAGCAATCAATGGGAGAGGAAACTTCAAGTCTAAGTCGATAAGAACAAGTCGCGGAAGAAGTACTCGTTCGCAATCGTTGAAGAAGCGCTCACTCATGTCGCGTCTGGAGGTGGAAGATAATCAGAGGAATAAAGTTCGCTTGAGAGAATTGATTTGAAAATGGAGGACAATAACGCTCTGTAAACCTAAGAGGAGAAACTAAGAAAAATGAAAAACTAGAAGTTATTTTATATTTTTTTTAAATATAAGTAAATAAGGATAAAATTATAATTTAATTTAATTTCAGGTACATGCAAATAGTTATCCGACTCAAAAACTATTACTACTCGAATCCAAATCTAAATTTCGGATATTTTTAAGATCATTATCCGATCTTATCTCATTCAATAATTGTATATCCTAATTTTATATACTCGTTCCGTGGATCAGATCGGATATCCGAATTTTGCATGCATGCAATACATTGTAACATCAAACCATCATAACAATACCATCAACCAAATATTATTTTAGAACCATAATATAAATAAGAAATACTCATTTTTCTTCTTCTCTGACTTATACAACCACCTGTTATCAGAATTCACTCCCGACGAATATTATCAACTTGTTAAGATCGTTTTACAATAATAATAATATATATATATATATTCCATATTTATCACTTCACGGTAATTTCAAACTTGAAAAAAAAAATCCACCAATAGTTAATAGCTAGAATGCCCATAAACGCAATTGGAATTCCTACATGGAGCAACTTCCAATAACGCAGAAGCCAGAAAGTCTTTTCTAAAGAGAGAACTACAGAAAAAAAAAAAATCAGACTAGATTGAACAGAACACGTGAGGACACGCGCCAAAGCGCGTGAGGAAGAACAAAAGCGGAAGTGGCTCTTCGAAAACGTGAAGGGTCGTTGATACAACAAAAGCTCTTATAATCATAACGCGGCGTTGGAATGTGTGAATCTCACGCTTCAATAAGATTCTTTCTCATTACTCCCTTTTTTTATGTACATTCTATTTATTATTTAAGAAATTGTGATTCCTTTTTCACTATTCCCCAACTCCCAAGGAATATTCCACCGCAAAGACAAAAAACATATTCCCCGTTTCACACCAAAATGTCATCAGTATCTTCTCCTAATTTCCTATTTATTCTTTGGATTTTTTTCCCTAAATTCGGAGAGATTAAAAAGACTGGACAACAAAGACGTGAGTCTTCGATCTTATCCCTCTGGATACGCTGACGTCATTGCCAGCCCCAACGCGTCGAAAAGCGATTCCTCGCCCAACGAAATTACCGTTTTACCCTCATCCCCTCTGTTTACCCCTCTCGTTCAGACACGAGAAAGAACAAACGCACACGAGAGATTCGTTTCAGTACGCGACGCCCCGACCTCGATCCCCTTGTGTTTTAACACAACGCTCTATGGACGTCTTCTGATTTTTTTTTTAATCCCTTGTCATGATTTTTTTTTCCTGAAACGTCAAGTTTATTCCGTTTTCTGATTCTATTTAGATCCCATATTCCTTCTCTCCCAAGCTGCTTCTTCGTCGTCTTCTTCCTCTCTCTCTATTTCTCTTTCTTGGATCCATCTATATGGTCCGTTCCCAGAACCGCCATAGCGATCGGAGGGCTTGTTTCTTCTGCGGAGATTCATAATGCTCAAGAACGTGGACATGGATTACGCCCAGAAAATGCAGAGGTGCCATGAGTACGTTGAAGCTCTGGAAGAAGAGCGCAAGAAGATCCAGGTCTTTCAGCGTGAGCTTCCTTTGTGTTTAGAGCTCGTCACCCAAGGTAATTTTGAGCTATTTCCAATTCTGGTTTTTGCGTTTTTTAATCGGAAATTTTCTGGGTTTTTCATTTCTGGATTTGTTTGTTCTTTTCAGCGATTGAGGCGTGTCGAAGGGAGATAATATCGGGCACGCCGTCGGATTACGTCCAAGGTCAATCGGATTGTTCTGAGCAGACGACGAGTGACTGCGGGGGCCCTGTGTTCGAGGAGTTCATCCCCATTAAGAGGAGCTCGTCGTGTGATGAAGACGGTGAACATGAGTCTCGTGAATCTGAGAACGATGGAGATGAGAAAATTTCGACGAACAGTGGGAATAATACCGATAAGAAGAAATCGGACTGGCTTAGATCTGTTCAGTTATGGAACCAGTCTCCGGATCCACAACCAAAAGAGGTAAAAACATTTTTTGGGTTGATGAAGATGAGCTTCGTGTCGTTTGTTTCCGTGGAGATTTCCGACAAACCCTAACATGTTTTGTTGTGTAAGAAAATAGGATCAAGCTGCTAAAATGAAGACGGTTGTAGAGGTGAAGCGAAACGGCGGCGCATTTCAGCCATTTCAGAAGGAGAAGCTCGTTCCAAAGAGTAATCAGCAACCAGTGAAAGCAACCACTTCGGCTCCTGCGCCGGCGAGTTCACAGGCGGTAACCGGCGGCGGAAAATCCGAGCTCGAGGAAGCGCAACCGCAGCAGAAGCAAACGCAAACGCAAACGCAAGCGCAGAGGAAACAGCGGCGGTGCTGGTCGCCAGAACTACACCGGCGGTTCCTCAACGCGCTTCAACATCTCGGCGGATCTCATGGTAAAGATGAAATTCGATTACCCTAGCAGAAATGGGTTTTGTTTCTGGGATTTTATGATTCGATGAACATCATGTTGACGAAAAGTTCGTTTTTTTTTCCATGGATCTGATAAAATTTTGCAGTGGCTACGCCGAAGCAGATTAGAGAGCTAATGAAAGTTGATGGACTGACTAATGACGAAGTTAAGAGCCATTTACAGGTTTGCATTTCATTTCATATCGTAACCCATCTTTTGACGATAATTCCTCTACTGTTGATTTAGAAGCCCTTTTTCTCAAAATCCGATTTTAATGTGTTTCATTCGCTCAAATCCGAATTTCAATTGGAGATATTGTTTTATTAAATGATCTCTTGCAATGGGCTAAACGTTTTATTGTTCCCCCTTTTCGTTTCTCAGAAATATAGACTCCACACGAGACGGCCAGCCACACCGGCGGCTC